CGATCTCAGGATTACAGAAACTACTTAAAAATTACTCATTAAGGATATCTAACCACCCAAACTTTTTAGCTAAAAAATTATTACAGCAGAACTACCCTAAGCGATTAAAGAGAAAAGATTTACATTTGAACTGTGACTACCCGTGCCACATCCAATTATTCCACATCGGAGTTGCGCTCCGCATGTATTATTATTATAATTTTAAATATGAGTTTTTGGTATCCCTAATGATATATATATAAGCACATTATTTGATAAATCTAAGTTATATTCGTAATTTATTGTACTCTGCTTACTTTCTAATAACTTGTTCCAGGAGTAAGAATTAGCTTTAAGACTTTCGAATTTATTGTTAGTTTCCAAGAAGGAAAGATTGAATAAAACAATATACAAAAAAAACTTTTAAATAATAAATTTGTGAAGCATTTAATATTTCTTAAAAGTTTAAATATCAAAAGAAATGTTGTATTTTCCAACCCCTGATAGTGCACTTTAACAATTCCCACCAAAAATTAAATCGAATTCAAGCCGATGAAGCGCTGACTGGGTTTGCTTTATCCACATTTTAATGCAAACCAGTCGAGCAGATATGGTTTTAATAATTGTTTGCTTTAGAAACCCGAGCAATCTAATCAAAAAAATTGTTATCATAATTACGCTACAAGTCGTTGAAGTCGTTCCGAAACACTTTTAGATTTAATCTAACTTCTAGTTGGTTAAACTGGCTGCTCGATCACGGAACACTGACCAAGCGCACTTATGCCTACTGTGAAGAAGCTTTCTCTAACCGTTCCAGATAATCAGACCACTTGGTTTATTGAGCTTCCGGCAGATTAGTGGTGCCAACAGATGCAAAATCAGTCAATCGAAGAAAGAATTTTCTAGAAAATAATAACGGACCGCATTGAGAGCTACGCGATGACGGAGTTAATGTCCCAACGATTTCTCCTCATCTATGTCCTGGCATCTACGGTAAAAGTCGTTTATGAAGTAGCCCATCATTCTCCCACGAGTCCCCTCAACACAGTATCCGGTTAATATGCCGATGTTATGCTTAGAAGGAGTTAATACTTAGTTCAGTTTACTTTGATCAATTGCACGTGGTTTCCTTTCGCCAACTGCTCTTCGGCCCTTATTGTGAAGGCTAGCCTTAACAAATACTTAGCCGAGGAAAGAGGCAAGCCCAGAGTTTTCAGGGGTTATGACTGCTTTCAATGCGTTCTTTAACTCCGCTCTTCTTTCTGTTTACTTAAGTTAATGAAAAATTTAGCAACGCCTCGAATGAGATACCACCTTTCGGTTGACGACCCCCGCAAACGAATTAAGGATTGCGATTTGATGACATGCATCTGGAATGTCCGGTCTCTTAATTGGGAAGGTGCCGCTGCCCATCAGGCTGACATCACTACCGTGACAACAGACTGCCGAACGATTTTCTACTCGACTTGCACTCCTGCTCTCAGAGAGCACTCATCAGCAACTCGATATACAGAAACCGTGGGCAAATCTTGCCCGTCAAGTCTGCGCAAATTACCGTGGAATAAGCCTTCTAAACATCGCATGTAAGATCCTGTCAAGCCTATTGTGTGAGTGACTAGAGTCCACCGTCAACAAACTGACTGGACCTTATCAGTGTGGTATTAGACCGAGTAAGTCAACCAATGCCTAGATTTTCACCATGCTCTTAATGACCCGTGAAAAGGGAATCGACACCTGCAACCTCTTCGTCGATTTTAAAGCAGCCTTCGACAGCACGAAAAGGACCTACCTATACTCAAAAATTTAACATCATAAAGAAGTTGTTGGAGAGCCGATTTTATATTTTTATATAATTATTTTAATAAATTCAAATCAGTGCCTTAAAAAATAATAAGAAAAAAAATTGGAAGAAATTTTAACCAAGTTTATACTTGCAGCAATGCGGAGAATATAATATATATAAATAACATAAGTAAAAAGAAATCCATTATTTTTCCAATAGATGGCGTTACTAAATTGCGTATCTTGCGTTGCTTAAGTCCAATCGGTTCCGCTAGATGCTGGAAGTTACATAAATGCAAAATAGAATCAAACAAACATCAGAAATAAACAGATTAAAAACACGTGAAAGATATTAGGATCATTGCGAGATGTAAATAAATACAACATAATAATAAATATATAAAATCAAAACAAAAGTAAACAAACTTGTTGACTTCACTCATCGATTTATGAAAAAAAGCAATAAAAATACATACGTATGTGAGTATAAATATCTGCATATACATATATATGTATCTATGTACGATTTTGCATTATAGAGTCAGCTACTTAGTATGGGAAAGTAAGTAAAAAAATGCCGACCGCGCATAAAAAAATTTTATTAATTAATTATTTGAAAAACTATTATGACGTACCTTAAAATAACGACTGTCCCGATTTAAAAAATTCTTCGTAATCCCCTTGAATTGTCCATAAGAGTCAACATAAAATATACCTTTAGATTGCGAATATTTTTTGAACAAGCAGAAAAACAGAAAAAAAGAAAACAAAAATCCTATGACGAAAAACATGGACACAGTTAATATGTTCGGTATTCAGGGAAGTACATGGGCTACCCGTGGTTCGCCTGTCAATAGAAGAAGATTGAAATCATGCAAGTTCAAAAAACGTAGATAAATATGTGTTGATGGGATTAAAGCAATGAAGAGACAAAAGGTCAGAATCGGAGGACCTATCTTCGGCAGTTTGCAGTAGATTTGGAATATGCAAAGTTCTAAGCTAACAACGGGTGGCTTCAATACCAAAACTTCTTTACCTCTTTAAAATGACTTTTAGACCAAACTTAACCTCAACATAGCAAACCTCAGTTCAACGAATTGCTTGATGTAACGAATATTTGTTTAGTCACTTCCGAATTGTTACATCCAGATTGCATTATATGATTCCAAAATTATTTTAAAAAAAATTAAGAAAGACAAATAATAAAGATAAAAATTGTTTAATGAAATTAAATAATTAAGACCTAAAAAATTGTGTAATTAAGCTAAAACTTAAGAAATAATGAAATAAAAATAGTTGAATTAAATAAAGAAAGTCAAGTTTTATTATTTAGAATTATAAATTAAATAACAACACTTACAAGCAAAAGAATTAATAACTATTGAAATCATTTGAAAGAAATGTTTAAAAATTTTTGTTTTTAAATTACAACAAAATAAATATTGATGGCAGCATGTCTTGATGTTTTTCCAAGAAATTTAGGGCCCTACAGTTTATACCATGCCGCCTTCGAACGACTGATGGTTTTTTTACGAGGAGCTTTATATCATGTCAGAAATACACTCGGAGGGGTTGACATTCCCTGCCGAGGAGCGACCGCAATTGGAGAATTTAACATAATTTTGTATTTAAATTAATTTTCCTTTTGTTGGAAAAACATCAAAATGCAAAACCTCAAATTGGAGGAGGAGCTTGGCCGAAAAAACGCTTCAGCGGTTACAAAGCGCCAATTATATATATGTACATATATGTTACATAAAATATATCTTCAAGCCGGTATTGATATATGTATATTTGCACAAGTTCGAATGTACATATACATATGATAAAATATAAAATAAAATTGTTTTCTGCAAAATTTACTTGAAAAATATAAAAAAAAAACTGGTAAAAATGTTATGTACAAGTACCTACTGTGAATTGGTATATTAACCCCACGGTTTTTACACACATAAACCTTCATAGGCGGGTATTTATCAGATAATAAAAATCGCTTTGCTGTGCAGTCATTGTACCGAGCATATGCTTATGTAAATATAAAAGTAAAATTGTATATATTGTATATATGTACATATGTACATACATACAATATGAAATAATACATGAATATGTATTTTCATAGCTTTGTATAGACAAATTTAAATGACGATGCTTCGTTGAACCATTCATTAAAGCTAACAACAACAACCAAGCACACCTTACCACTTAACTCTTCATATGTAAATATGGCTACATATGCATACATATACATATTTGTACCTATTTGAAATTTCTCACATATTCAGCACTCAACACATCTTCAATTTATATTAAAATAAAAATTATCACTTAGAGAAAAAAGGCGAAATAATAGACTTTTCAACACGCTTCGCTACAGTCTGCCAAGCAAGTCATGAACTAGAGGCAGCTGAGCATATATTAACACATGCATACAAATACAAATATATTAACATAAACATATGCTGAAACAATTGTATCCAAACATCTTTATTTATTTACTTAAAGTCATTAAAAAAAAGAACAATCATAATGTAAAGTCAAAAAAAAAAAACAAATTAAAACAAAATTACGCAAAAAATTTTGAAATTCGCCACACATGAGAATATTCTCACATTATTTTAAGTGTTGATCTAGACGCTGAGATTTCAGTTTTGAGTTTTGCAAATGCTTAAGGTTAGCGCAGATGCGAACACACAAATAATTTTACTACTGAAAAAAGAGAAATTTCAGTAAGAGATTTGTAAGTTTGTAATAACAAATTTACGTGAGTTCAAATATATAGAGCAACCGGAAGGAGATTTGTAAGGTGGTATTCGGAATATATTAACATTTGTGGATGAGCTACACAGACATGGCCAGTCGATTAAATCGAGGATGGATAGCCCGAATAAGTTAAAGAAAAATTTGCTTAAATTTAACCGACAAATCATTTATTATTGTAATTTGGTTTATCGATTTTTATTAGCTGTACTAATGGTGAACCCGAAAGCTCAATTTATGACTTAAAAAACAACAAAGCGGGTGGAGCTGACGGCCTACCGGCAGAATTATTCAAATATGGCGGTGCTTTAGCAACTTTCCGGATATGGTCGGACGAAAGCATGCTCGACGATAGAAATTTAAGTGTGCTCTGCGTCAATTATCGTGGGATAAGCCTTTTTAATATCGCCTATAAGGTCCTGTCGAGCGAGCGTATTGTGTGAAATACTAAAGCCCACCGTCAACAAACCGATTAGATGAGTTAGAGTTAACAGGAGTAAATCCCGTCCTTAGGCATTGGATACATGTCTTGCTAAGCTGCAGGAAGATCAAAGCGCGATGTGGATTAGGCATCGTAACGAGGAGTATGTCAAGTGAACTCTAAAAAGTGAAATGGTATCACCTCTGCTCTGCACCTTTGCAGTTAAGAAGTTGCTCAAGATGTTGGAAGGGGAGCTGCTATGCTTACAGCCTATTCGGACGACACCTCAATCACAGTGGGCGGTAAGGGTTTAATAAACCTCGGATCCATAGCGAATCACTTTGAACCATGCTAACAAAACAGATAGGGTCCTATTGATAAAAAAAAATTTCAGTTTGGATCAAGCCAAAGCTACGAGAGGACACTTTACAGCTGAAACTTAGCACTAAGCACCTGGGAACTGTGTTGAATAGCAAGTTGTCGAGAAGACTCAATGTAGAGGTGCGAGTGAATATAGAATCAGCGGCTCTATATACGACATGTAAAATGATGTTGCGGGCTTTAGTTTACTGCGAGATAAGAAAGTCGTATAAACTACCAAACTATTACAATATCTTCAAAGCAACAAATTTTTGCTGTAAAAAAGGCGGCAGGGCCAATGCAATGTGCTGGTATTCAAAGGAAGATAGCTAAGCGACCATAAAGATTTCAATTTCATACAACATGAAGTCAGCTATGGTCGCACTATGAATTGCCTCTTTAATTTAAATACTACTAAACAGAAGAGTTGACATAAACTGGGTGCAAGGCCACACGGGCATTGAAGGTAACGATATTTCTGACGAACTGGCTAAGGGGGGTTTCTCTTTAGAACACGAAATGAACTTCCAGTTCTATTCAAGGAATTAAAGCAAAATCATGATCGCGCGAATAGACTTTGGAAACTGAATCGCGAGGTCTATGTTTAAAACGTATAAAACTAAATTTACAAAGTTTGTACTATCTGTATAGAGGCCAGGCTCCAGACTGCTGATAAGATAATTAAGGAGCAGACCTAGTGTGAAATTTCAAAAAAAAAACGATCGATTTCATATTTCAGTAGATTTCACCTTTAAAAATAACATATTAAAATTTCAAATCGATATCTCAAATAGTTTTTGAGTTATAACAATTTAAAGAGCAGCCGCTCGGCAGCTAGAGAGTCACATTAGCTACGAGTGAAAACGATCATTTTATCTTTAAACAAGTTTTGCTCGAAACAGCATTTTCCGAATTTTCTTAAAAATAAATGATCCGATCACTATCGAGTTTTTTTTACGCGTTCTATATATAGTTCTCCGTACAATGACCAATCGATTTTTGATCTGATCAAAACATCGAATTTTGGCAAGCCAAACACGACCAAAATGTTGAGTAAAATTCGACTATTTTTTTTAATACGCCGCCATATTGTATTGTATTTTATCGTAGGTCATTGTACAGAGAGAATTTTTTTTTTAGATCTCATCCATGGAGAAGGCCGTGGGAGATCGACTATGACTTAATAAATATTTAATTTTTTTCTTCAAAAATTTCACTGTATATTCTTGAAACATGTATAAATATATTCTTAATATAAATAATTGACAAAGTATTTTTTTTAATAAAAATTACCAAATGTCACCTTTTTTTTAGGCCATTACACTAGGTGCGCCTCTTAATGGAGCATTTTGACGTCGTTTGCTTTTAGTATCAGTCTAACTGGGGCAACAAGTAAAGTGGGAAAAGTAGTCAATTTGCGGGTAATGTTCTGCGTATGACTTATGCACCCGATAAGAAAGAATTTTCCGTGAAGTGGGCCTGAGACAGTTATATTAAAAAAAGGAGTTTATTTTTAAATCGTTTAATTTTACATGAAATTTCGTACACAGATAACACTTTCTTTAATTTACATGTTGAACACATTTACTTAATAAGCGCAACTTATGTAGGTTGCTATTTGCAAAGGTCAATATTTGTAGATCTGTTCCAAAAAGTCGTAGCATCAGAGTTGCTCAATAAATGCAACGTTATCATTCATCAAATTCATCGTTAACATTAAATTTAAAACGGCTGAAATTTAACAGCGCAATTCAATTTTACGTTTAACAAAATCTGTTAACGATTTAACATTAACGACAGCTTTTTATTTCGGGTAAAAACGAAAAGAAATTTATTTTGTTAACCAATTTAACGTTCGCTTAAGGTGAAACTTATCGTCACGATGCCGCCGTAGTGACCTAGACTAATATGTGAAAAGCTTTTCTGTTGTTCATATATTTTAACATTGTAGTTTATAAGTTACAATAAAGGAAACAACGTAAGAACTTACAATAATAAAAACCTTATTAGAACCATTTTAGAATTCCAAGCGGATGAAGTTGCGGGCAACCTCTAGTATCTTATAACTTTTTTCAAAGGTTTTTTTGCTGATTATTTATAAATGAAATACATAGAAAAGACATCCTCTTGTCGATCTTAATTAAAGTCGCATAGTTTTACAAATATTGTACTGAATACTACAGAAATTGACATGAGAAAACGTTTATAATTTAATTCAATTTCCTACCTTTTATTACCACTTTTTACCGCTATTTAATACTAAAATAGAATTTAATCATAAAACATCTCTACTTTACAAATACTAAACATACATATGTACATGTATCGAGACTATGAATATTAAGCTTTAGTTTAATTCTCAGATTTAATGCGGCCAGCGATGAGATAATTTTTTCCGCGGTCTCATATTACTCCGTCCTCACATTGACATTCAGCATGGCAGTGCACTTGTAAAACAACTGAATAAACATAAATTTAAGTACTTATGTATATAAACACATATATGTATGATTGTATTTAAACATTCATTAATACCCTCAGATGGATACCTTTTGCAACTGTTGTTTTTTTTTTCATGGGTTTGACATTTAAATTCGCTTACAACGTGGGAATTCGATAGCTTTGAGGCTTTAGTGGTTTTTCATTTACTTATTCACTGCCACTGGTTAAAAACCAAAAATTAAAATCGTATTTATGTGTTTTGGTAGGGTTATGTATGTGGGCAATTTGTCGAATGCTTAGAAAACAATTTGAATTTTCGTATCTTAGATAAATTAAGACAAGTATTTTGAAAGGACATTAGTGTAGAGTTGCTAATTAATCGAAATTATATTCAGGTTGAATACAAGAAACAGGCAGATTCAAAAAATTTAGTTACTTATTATATATGTATATATTGGGCTATAATTTATTTTTGTACTTGTAGCGAAATGTATTCATAAATTTTTAATTGGAATAAAGAACTAAATGTGAGTATTAAATAATAAATATTAAAAAGAGTGAATTTTTCAAAAAATTTCAATAAAATAAAAATTTATTGATTCTGGTATGAAAAGTTGTATGTACTTATGTATATAGATATTTGTTCAGTTCGAAGAGTACACGAATGTGTCTTGTATATAAGTACATAAGAAATAAATTATATAATATTTTTTTTGCTGTTACTACTCAGTAAATTCTAAGCGGGTTTTTATGCTACGAAAAAACAGTTTCCGTTTTCAGGTGTCAAAAAACAGAAGGATTAGATTACTTGCCAAAGATACCTTTCATTACATTACCTAAGCATGTACAATATCTCCACACTGCCAACTGTGGCGGCTTATAACCGCTGAAGCTAATTTCGGCCGAGCTCCTCCACCAATTTCTGTGCGTGCTTCTTAATATTGTATCTTTCCCACAAATGGAGGAACCTACACTTTATACTAAGCCGTCCCCGAACGGCTAATGAATATTTATGAGAAGCCCTTATTTCATGTCAGAAATACTTCCGAACCTTAGCCATCCGAATCGAAGTGCACACTGCTAACCACTCTGCTATTTCGGTCGCCAAATATAGTATCACATATATTGGTGCTTATTTTGTTGTCAGTAATGTTAACTTATGACACTTGAAGCAGATCATAAACAACTTAAAGCATACAATATACTGTCAATTTGTTCCTGCATTATAGGTATATATGCATGTATGCAGTTGTATGCGTTTTTTTCGACTACTTACATACTTGGCTTTATCCCTGCCAGCAACCCTACTACTCCATGTACGAGTGAAATATATACCCCATGCGGACAGCAGAGTTACCCAAAACTAACCACAATCCGTACAAAAACTCTGGCCCAATTAACATATGTACTATATTACGTTTCTGCATAACATCCGAGTAAGCCATGGAGTACCTACACTAGAACATATTAGCTCAAACATCTGTATGTCTGCTGCGTACCAGCAGAGCTCACCAAAAAATCCAAACTGACTTAATTTCAGTTTCATAAATTTATACGAGTATTAAAAATATTGCACACTGGCAACTTCGTTTAGTAATTGCGATCGTGAAAACACATGCAAACATCGCCTAGCAACTTTGACGCAACGAGGTGTGAGCTGATCCAATAGTTCACCACAGAGAAATATCTATTGGAATACTTCATGGACTATATGGTCCAAAAATGTTTGCAGGGTATATGCCTTTAGTGCAGTTCATAAACCTGGCTATATTCTCACATATGTATGTATGTATGTATACATGGATGGTTACCAGTATGTGGCACATAAATATGTTTGTTGCAACAAAACGAGTTTCTGGAACAGGTTACTGATCGATGAGATCTTCTTTCGCGCAAACCCAGTCCCTCAGTCAGGCAAAGTCGAGCCAACCAACCATTAACTCGTTTTGCTAATTATTTCTTTTTTTCTGGTTTCCTCTACTTCTTTTTTTGTACTTTTTGCACGCATCCACCTAAATGTCATTATCCTCACGTGAACAGTACTTAATGACAGCTCCAACGCTCATCTTATATGGCATATATGTATGCACAGCCTATACATCCGAGTACATACCTTCATACCTATATACACATATTAGCTCTGTTGCTTCTTGCCACATAAATATGAACGCTATATAACCCAGCGGTATTTCTCTCCCTCTATATATCAGGTATCACATAGTTTTTAGCTTGCACATTCTTTAGCCCGTATGTCTGTTTAAGCCAACTGACTATGCGGCTATGTTACGCATGAAATAAATTCTTAACTGCACTCAGCAACACTGCAAATTTTTCGCATGTTGCAAGCTGAGAACATACGTACATATGCATATACATGCATATGTATGCATGAGGCAGTAGCAAGAATGAAAAAAAGATTGCATGTGGCTAAAAATTGTTATATGCAACGTGGCTAGACATGCAATAGGAAAATCATAAAGTGTATATGAAAGTAAAGATTGCAATCAGATTGTTGGCGTATCCGATTATAAAAAAATTAAACAAAATTGTATTCAATTTTGCTTTGTTAATATAACATTAATATCATTCCCTATAATTATTATTATTTTTTGTGCTAATTAATTTTAATAATTTTTGTATTCTATTTTTTAACTTATTGTATTTAATTTAATATAAAATAATTTATTTTTATTTAATTTAATTTATTTATTTAATTTTGCTTTATTGTAGTTTATTCCATTTTATTTTATTTTATTCCATTTCATTTTATTTTATATAATTTTATATCATATTATTTTATTTCTTTGTTTGTTTGAAATATTTTTTCATGTTTTGTTTTGTTTTGTTTTGTTTCATTTAATTTAATTTAATTTTATTTAATTTAATTTAATTTTATTTAATTTTATTTTATTTTATTTTATTTTATTTTATTTTATTTTATTTTATTTTATTTTATTTTATTTTATTTTATTTTTTTGTATTTCATTTCATTTTATATTATTTTTTTGCTTAATTTAATATATTTAATATATATATATATATATAGGATCTTCACCGTCATTTATGTAAGAAATCAATATGAAGAAAATATAAATTAATGGTTATTTCTTTAAATGGAAACTTGACAGAAGTCAAATGCTAATAAATATACAAATGCAATAACGACATAGGCAAAGCACAAAAAACCATAAATTAAAAACAAATTACCAGTATATTGGCGACGCAAATCTATTAATACATTTAAAAAATATCTTCAAATATTTGCATAATTACAAGCACACATACATTCAGAAGTTTGAATTTTCTTAACATTTTTGCGCTCTCATTACACAGATGTTTTGTCTCGATTTGGTATAATTTATTTTCACCGTTTATAGGAATTGACATTTGCCCCGACGACAATCCACGTACAATGCAAAAAAATAATTCCTTACTTTTTTACTATTTTTTCACAATTTTTGGTGGTTAAAATGCCAAAATTTGTTTACAAACAAAATGAAAATTTCATAAGGTGTGTTTTGTAGTATTGTTATTAACACTTTTTTTCTTGGTATGATTTAAGTCGTGCTTGAAATTGTGTCAGTTTGTTGATTGCTAGGTTTTTGTATCTATATGCTTGTGTATATGTATGAGTACTTACGTTTTGCCCACAAAACTATTTATGTGTAGGAGGAGTGCCTGCTCGAATTTGGAAGAGCAGTCACACCTGAATTAATTTAATAGTGATTTTAAAGTCATTTGCATGACAACAATAAAAATTTTAGTAGTGAAAATGCAGATTAAGAAAAATTGAGGAAACATAAATAATATTATGTTATTAGTAAGAAATGAATAGTCATGAGATATTTGTTTTTTATTTTAGAGATTAAAGAAAAGCGATCAGCTGGCGTTAATGTTAATATTAAATATATAGATGGCAGTGGAGGAGGCAAGCGTCTTGGGAAATTCTATTCAAAATCCACACCATTGAGATAATATCTCAGATGAAGACAAAATATGGGGAGTTATTTCTTAGAGAGAGGCTTTCTGAAAAATTAAATGAGCTTTCGAATTGAGACATTTAGTGTGATCTCACAAAACAAACACCCACATGAAACTTGCTTGAGAGAAATCTTTACAAAACATCACAAATTATGACAATAACGAGAATTCATAGTTAGTTAGTTCAGAAAAAATTTAATGTAATTTAATATTGCGTTGGGATAAATACCGGTTTAGGTAAATATCGGTATAATTAAATTGGCATTTATTTTATGGTTTTATTTCATTTTATTAAATTATATATTTTATAATAGTGTTTAAATAAGTTAAGTTTAATATAATCTAAGTTAATATTTTTTTATATTAATTTTATTTCATTAATTTTATTTTCAGTTTTTGTTTTGTATTTTATTTCATTTTCTTTATTTAATGTAATTTAGTTTAATTTAATTTGTTATAACATAACATTTAATTTAATTTTATTTCATTTAAACATTTTTTATTTTTTATATTACTTTATTTTATTTTATTTTATATATGTTATTAAATTAATATATTATTTTTTCTATTTCCTTTCATTTCATTCGATTGTTTTACTATATAGTTTAATTAATTTTTATTTCATTTTATTTCCAATAATTTTTTTAAGTTTATTTTATTTTATTTCGTAGCATTTCACTTTATTTTCTTTTATATTTTTTTTTTACTTTATTCTATTACATGTTATATTATTTAATTTTTTACTTTATTTCATTATACAATTTTTTTTGTTTATTTTAATCATTTTTTATATTGTTTTATTATATTTTATATTTTTTTTATTATATTTGTGTAATTAGTTTAAATTTATTTAATGTAATTTAGGTTCAAATAATAATTCAATAATTTAATAATTTGCTTAATTTTATTTGTTATGTATATATTTTTAAATAATAATATTTTTCTTATTTCATTTCATTTTATTCATTTTTCTTTTATTATTTTATTTTGTTTAATTTTTTGTTTCACTTAAATTTATTTTTTTGATATATTATTTCATTTTATTTTATTTTTTTATCATATTTTACTTTTTTATGTCAATTTATTTTATTTCCTTTAGTCTATTTTTGTATTATTTTATATTTTATATTATTGTATTTTATTTTAATTTTTATCTTGCTTCATTTGATATTATTTTATTTTATTCTACTTTATATGATATTTTTTTTAAATTTATTTTATGACTCAACAAATTTTTATTCAATATTGGTAAATATTCTACTTACTTATTTGACATTATCGCTGTAAAATAACGCAAAAAATATCCGTTAATCGCTATCATAAAATATTTAGCTGGATATCCATTTCGTAAATCCACATAAAAATGCTTCCAAACTGATAGAAGTGTTTTTGATGGAATAATGATGGGTTGAAAATAGAGTTATTGGAGTATTATAGAATGCTGAACAGTTTGCTGGGGATGAATGGGATGTTGAGTTTTTATTTGAATTTGTAAGTACTTGGATGATGAATGGAATACTGTAGACGTTTTAATTATTTATGGTAAAGTTTTAATATTGTTGGTTATGATTTTAGGCAACCATTATGTATTTTTTTGGGCCTTTCACTAATTACTTTTATTTGTATTTATTAAATTTTCCATATTTTTCACAATTTGAGCATATATAATTAGCACCGTTTTCATTTACTTCTCTAATTCGCAAACAACTTTTCAAGCTATTTTTAGTCGCAATTGACTGATTAGTTGGCCGTTGAGGAAGACTTCACAAGCAACTTAGCATACGAAAATTAGGAATAAATGAAAACTTGACACGAGGCAAGACACTTAACAAAAGCATTATTTTCAAGCTATTATATAAATTGTTTATTTTTTTATACACATACATTTTTCAAAGATTGCTATTTATGTACATTTATTTTGCAAACTTTAACTATAGCACTGTTTATGAACACTTTTTTTTTTAATATACATATGTATATAAATTTTTTTTGCTTATCTTTACACTTTTTCAAAATTACTTTTTATGAACACGGATCTAATTAAACATTACTCGTTCGTTCGAACAAGTTCTTTTTGAGATTTCTATGTCGCATGCACTATATACTGAACTCCTTCTACTTTATGTTGCATTGTTTCGCTCTCGTACCCGCGTTCGCGCATTCTTTTAATAAAAAAAAAGTTCAGCTTAAGATGACGCTACGTGCTCCGAAACCAAGTTGCGCTTAGGTTCAACGTTAAAAAGGAACTGAATTCCAAGTAAACGTGTCAACCCGCTGAGCACTTGTATTGGTAAGATCGTTGGTAGTACGTACGTTAACTTGCTCTCCTGAGGCTAAGCACTTTCTTAGTACACACATGTGTTTGTGCTAACAACCGAAAAGACCGGCTTCAACAAGTCTAGGCATGTTGCCAGTTTTGTTGGATTCAAAGAAATAGTATAACAACAATAATATTAAATAGCAACACAAATACATACAAACGTCCTACCTACTCATGCTCAATACCACAACGATCGCTCTATGTGCTATTCTCCTTCTTTTACCTGCCACTGATCACCGTCACACCTCTACGACCATTGCCTGTTTGAGCTTGCCTTCGAACATGTTCGTTCCGCTTTGAACCTAGCTTTGGTGTGCTCTCTAAGTTGTCTCAGAAACTGGTTAGTTGACTTTACACGAAAAGCGCTTGTCGTGTTTAAGTAAGCCACACTTTGGGTATTCCTGATTCTTAAGCAGCGGAATTCTTTCGTCTCTCGTTGGGTGCGTGCCACACTAATATGATGGTAGCAATGGTGGTTCACAACGTACGATAAATCGATGACATTGACTTTTTGATAGAAACAAGAAGAACAAAATAATAAACAAATAGAATTAATGAAATATAGTGAGACGCTTGCGTTTGGCCGAGTCTTTCAAGCTGAAGGCAAAGACTTCATTTACTAAGTAAAAAAGAAACTTTGTTAATATTTCTGTGTGTAGAATAATTTTATTGATTTAAAACTTAATGGACTTAAAGTTCATTAATAAAATTTGGAAAGTTAGTACTGAAGGTTTTAGTGAGAGCAGACTTAGTGCGAGTAATGGCCAGAAGGATCTCGCAACTCTCTGCATGGTTAGTTGGTTGAAATTGTAGGTTGAGAACATAACTACAAACGGCTGCATTTCATTCACTTCTGCATTCTTCCAAATCTTTTTTTTGCTTAGAGTCAGCAAAAGTTCTATTTGGCTGCAATACTCGGCGCCCCGTAGTAGAATCACTTAAGAATTATTCCAGAACCTGCAATAGTCCTCTAGGAAAGCAGCAGTTGATAGTGAAAACGTAATTGCTCAAATTTCCGATTGGCTGTCTACAAGATTGTAAAAAGCTTCTATAATAAGGCACCTTTGGCAATGTCTGCGATATCTACTTATAGGATAAAGTTGTAGTCATTTAGATTGAAGCTGCATTCGGTATTGGACAGTCAAGTTTGGATAGAACTCAAACTTCACTACACGAGTAGAGGGCTGGCTCCTCGCGGAGGTCATCTATATACCATAGTCTCTCTTACGAGGGAGTTTTTTTATGTTCGTAGTATCTCGGATGAGGGGCAGAAATAAAAAAACAACCGATTATTTTTCCTTTTCAATATGATCACCTTCACGACGGAAACTCATTAAAAAATATTTTTTTCTTTATATTCCAAATACGCCGAAACCTCCTGTGCAAGCCTCTCAATTTTTTTTTATTTTTTGGAAAGAGGTAATAATCGCTCGGTGGCAGATCTGGATGTGGGGGGATGCAAAATATCGAAGCCCACCTTATGCAGGTTAGCCAACTCAAAGCAACTCTTGTGAACGTGCGCATTGTCATGGAAAAGCAGCACACCATTTCCTTAATGACTTCTTTTAGTCGTTCTTTTATTGGAGCCTAGTAGTATTCTCCAGTTCTAGAAACACATTCAATAAATGATTTATAAATAATATTCCTTCGGCAGGGTATGTAAAGCCCTTCGCGTGTGTTTCTGACATGAAATAAAAGCCTCTCATAGAAATCCACACATTGCCATTACTTTCCCAACTAGCTGTGTCACCTCAAACTCCTTGAAAGGTGTTTTTATACTACTACATGAATTTTTGCGGCCGCCATAGTGGTTGCATTGTGTACTGCCGTTCGGAACTCCATGATTCGGGTCTTAGTTCAATCCACATCATCCACGGAAGGGATTGTCATGTCAAGCGCTTTGAATGTATTTCTCAGAAGAAATAAAGGCTCCTCATAAATACTAGCCGTTCGGACTCATACCATAAATTGGAGGAGGAACCCGAAAATGGCTTCACCGGTTACAATGTGACAATGTGCACGTGCCATGTTGTCTCGACTCAGGCTCATAATAATAAACCCAAGTCTCGTCTCTCATAACAATTATACTCAATACACCATCTTTGTTAGCATTACAGAGGTTCCAAAATGCACGTGAATACTCTACGGGTTGTTGATTTTTTTGGCGTGATCGGTTTCGACACCCGTCTTGGGCTGACTAGATTAAGGTCAAGATGATCAATATTTTCAACCTTTCGGATAAGTTCCGGTGTGGTCACCTCGTGCTCTTGTCCGTTTTTCGGTGGTCTACAAGGGACTTTTTTCTTTGCCTAAATAAACTGTGCCGCTTGTTCATCATGATTTTTCCCGGGCAATGATGTCTCATTAATTATGATCCCAAATGATTCCTCGTTTCTTAAGGAACTTTATAACGGCGCGATATTCGATTTTTCCATAATTGTCTAAAAGCAATGAAACCTCGTATTTATACTATTTTTGAGCCTGATCACAACCCTACAATCCTCTTCCGTACGTATTAAAAAGGCTTCCTCTTACTGAGATAAAAATTCAAATGGTAGTTTTCTCGTCTCCAATACAGGTAATAATTACTTTCAATTCCATGAAGGACGGAAAGAGAGAGAACTTAATAAAAACCACCATAATGTTATAGACGGTATAAAATTTAATAAGCCGTTATTAATTAATAAACTCCGACTTCCTAATCGCTCATAAGTAATATTAGCTAAACAAAATTAATGAAAATAATGAAACAAAAATAAAAGTAGATCCTGAATGTCCGCTAGGCCCTAATAAAGTTTTAAATTCTTTATGAAGAGTTATTAAAATTGAATTTCAAAAAATAATGAGAGATTCTTTTAGAACATTATTTAAAAGTACCGTCATCTTATTTGAATTTGAGAAGAACTTCGTTAATTTAAACTTCGTCAAACTCCTAAACCCAGCTCATTTCGAAACATCCAAGCACTAGGAAATTTCTTTCATCAATAAGAGAATTCAAAAGAATGATGTACCAAGAATGTGGTAAGAAATCATGCCTTTGTCTAGAATAGAGGAAACATAAAACCTAAAATGCGTAACGTGTACGGATTTTAATAGAGTTTGCTCAACCACAAAACCTAAAGTAGATCTCCATAACAAATTGCAAAAGGAAATAACAACAAAAATGGTATGCATAAAAATTTTGACCGCGGTCAGCCAATAAAAAAAATAAACATAAACCAAAATAAAATGTTCACACTAGCAACGTAGTCAAGCGTTGTTGGCAATAAAAAAAAGAACATACAAAAGAGATCTGTCCATAAATAGAAGACGAATTGCAACAGTTGAATATATGGGCAACACATTGAACTCTTAAACAAAGATATGAAGAGAGATACGAGAAATAGCAAGAATGATATGTAAGATAGTACATAAGTTTAAATAACAATTCGCAAGTAAATTTTAAGAACAAAACAAAACACAAGATAAGAGAATGCAACACAAAGAAATATGAGCATTAATTAAAAGCAAAGAAAATAAAAAATGAAAAGGGTAAATAAATTAAATTTGTTAAGAAGCTTGACAAGTTAAGAAGTAGTTAAGTAAAAGAGTACAATATGAAATACTGAAAAGTATTTGTATTTATGTAGCGACAAGCAGACAACAGACGCAAAGACGAGACGCGAGTAGGAAGATAATGAAGCGATTTGTGAAAGAACCCAATAGAAAATTGAGCAATCTCAGTATCATTCACAGAAAAATTATACATACACTTCTCTAGCCTTCTGAAAATCTACATACACGGTGTGTCTCAAAAATAACCGAACTTTTTGGATATAAAATAAAATGCATATTATATTATCTTTGAAAGTTATTATTTATTCAAAATAGGTTCCATTTGACTCAGCACAACGTTTGGAACGATCAACCAGCGCATGCAAGGGAAATCCCTTTTTTCATTAAAAATTCGAGCGATTTTTTGGTCGTCATTTAATTCATGTGGAACAAATCGCGCACAGACCTTTCTTTTCCCCAAATCTTCAGTTAAAATTCTCCAAATAGTGTTTTTACTCGTATTCAATTCATCAGCCAACATTATCCTAGTAAAATTTGCATCGATACCAATGATTTCACGGACTTTTTCCACCAGTTCAGCACGATTACTAGTTTCTGGACGTCCTACTCTAGGGTCATCATTTAAATCCTTACGACCATTTTTAAATCATGTAAACCACGTATAAACTTGCGTACGACTCATACAATCATCACAATAAACTTTTTTCATTAATTTTTTTTCAAGTTTGACACAAAATTTTATATTTGCTTTTTGTTCCATTTTATTTTTGAACCATTAGCACACTTTGTCATCCGACTTACATGATGTTATGTGCGTTTGAAAGAGAATGAATGTGTCTTTTTAGTGTTGTATGTTGTATGATTTAAATATAAAGTTCGGTTATTTTTTGGACACACCGCGTATTGTTCATATGTGCATATTTTAATAACTAGTAATAAACGCCGTTGGATTAGAATGTAAGTATGTGGATGTTATATCCTAATAATGATAGATTAAGATTAATTTTTAATGAATTACAAAACAAAAATAATAATTAATTGTAACTAGAATCTTCTACTAATCATAAAAAATACTATGATAGTGAGAAGTCCCAAAATTTTTTATTTGTAAAAATATAATTTTTTTTTAATAAAAGTTATTGATTAAAATGGAGTATTTGTTAAATTTCCACAACTAATTTAATAAAATATATAAATTAGATTAAATAAGGAGAATTAAAAACAAAATAATATATTTTTTTTAAATTTATTATTACATATCTAATAAATAATTATTATAAGACATTATTATAGTTTGCTAAAACTATCTGATAGATCAAATTTATTTATTTAACTTATAAACTATTCTTAGAATAACATAAGAATGTAAAATTTATTTTGAAAATATATATAATGTACCAAATTATTTTGAAAGATAATGTCGAAGATATGGCTAATGTTGTCTAGTAATGAAACCTTTAAGAATATAGACGGTTTTTCAATTCCGAAAATGTTTCTCCTAGCGATTTTAAATTTTGCGCATTCATCGTGGGTATGTGTTGTCGATAGGGCACAATTGCATGTAGGATAAGTTGGGCTCCCAATAAGGATTTATGTGTGTGTAATCTTCGTGTATCCTAGTAGGCGCGTAAAACTTTTATTTTTTACTTTTTTTTTTGAGGGAAGAAGATTTGGTGGGTAGGGTTTTGAACGGGTTGGATTTGATTAATTTCAACATCGGCTTTTAGTGTAAATTGAAATGTAAGACAAGGCACGTGGGAGGCATTTTTTGCAACTTTATCAGCATATTTGTTTCCAGCGACTCCGCAGTGGCCTGGGATTCACATTATCTTAATTTTGTTGATGTGTTGCTGTCAGTGCAGATTATATATTCTCCTTTGTTTGTTGCAGCGAGGTGGAAGAATTCCTGTTTTTATTACATTGCCATTTTCTTTGACTACAGCGAATGAAGTGGTCAAGTTATTCTTAGATCCTTAGTAAATATAAGGTTCCAACCATAAATTTTCCATTGGCTTTGTATTTCGAGGAACATTTTTTTGATTAATTACTGGAGATGTGTTGCCTTTGGAGTAACAAATAAGAGTAAAAATAAGCCCGGTCGTGGCTCCGTACCAAAGGGGGAATTCGGAGGTAGGGGTGAGGATGGGTTTCATAGGTATATTTAACTCTTTAACGCTTTGGACAACACGAAAAATAGAAGATGGACGTTTCGGTTTTCTTGTCCGTTTACAGTTTTTGCCATCGTTGTGTAGTATAGCGTTGTTTGAAGTAAACAGCTTCGATATAAGTCTGATAGTATTCTGGTAAAGCCGGTTTTCAATATCTGGTAGTCCAGTTTCTGCCAGAAGATTTTGTATGGGAGTTGTAGGAAATGCACGGAGGCTTATTCGTACAGCAGCGTGATATGGCACAGAGAGTGTTACTAAAGTACTTTTCGAGCAATATCCACAGATAGATAGACCGTAATCAATGATAGATAATAATGTTGACTAATGTGGTTTGGTATACATTTCTGTGCTTAGAAGCTAGATACTTAAGTATTCTTAACGTGTTCGTAATTTTATTTTTAATATATGCTCTTTAAGTAATAATGCTTTGTCAAATACTATTTTTAGAATTTTAAGTTTAGTGACATTTTGTATAACATTGTTCTTAAATGTAAAACTGAAATTGGTACAACTGATTTTCTTATATATATGTAATATCTTACATTTTATGTAAGATATATTTGCACCCAAGCTGAGGGCCCAGTCAGAAAGGTCGTCTAGAAAGTTAGTAAATAAGGTTTTTATTTCAATCAAATTATTATTTTTGAAAAATTCTAGCACATCATCTGCGTTGGTAGATTGTTAAATTTTATACTTTTTAAAAATTTTGTTAATTTTTTTAAAATCTTTAATACTTACTTACTTAGAATATATATATAGATCGAATTATTTTCATAATACTTTCCAAGTTCTTCAAGAAATTCCGCTAATATCGGAGATTATAAAAAGTAATGTTAAAGGAATTATGTTGGTGAGAAATATTAAATTCAAAGTTTGGAGCTACTCTTATAACCATTACTTTCTTCATAGTTTGAGACTAGTGCCATAAAATCTTACTCAAAACCTTTGTCTCGAAAACTCCCAAGGCAGACTCATCAGATGTTGTCATCCTCCATGTAGACCCCAGCATATAGTAGGACAGGAATAATGAGCTACTTAATAAGTTTGGTCTTTATTCGTCGAGAGAGGACTTAAATTTTCTACATCCTCCAAGTCCAGAGAGAACCTGTCAACAAAGTGATTATGCGTTGGATTTCAAGTCTGATATTGGTGTTGGCGTTAGTAACGATTCAAAAATAGACGAAGTTATCCACGACTTCAAAGTTTCAACAGTAACGTGAGAGCTTGTTTGAGGACAGAAAATATTTCTTTTTGTCCCCGTTAATTCCCTGAACCATGGGCTTCGCATTTTATCATGCAGAATTAACGGCACCTTTATTAAGACCTATCGGCATACGCCTGTAGTTGTACTCTTGTAAAAGATTGTACCTTCTCCATTCAGCTCTGTATTATTTTCTCCAGCAATAAATTAAAAAAGTCACTCCATAAAGAATCATCTTGTCTGAAACCTCGTTTGCTATCGAGTGGCTCGGAGAGGTCCTTCCCGATTTCGACAGAGCTTTTAGTGCTGTTTAAGGTCAGTTTACACAGCCGTATAAGATTTGAGGAAATATCGAATCCAGACATAGAGGCTAGAGGCAGTTCCTTTTCGTGCTTTAAAACCGACGAAGAGGTGGTGTGTGTTGATCCTCTTTTCACGACTCTTTTCCAAGATCAAGCGCATGGTGAATCGCTGGTCAATGGTTGATTTATCAGGTCTGAAGCTACACTGATAAGATCCCCATATGCCGTTTTTTTGGATTGGGCACAGGTTACTTAGGTTCCAATGGTCGGACATGCTTCCAACAGACCATATTTTCAAAAGTGGCTGATGCACGCACCTTATCAGCTCCTCACCACGATGTTTAAATATGTCGGCCGGTAATCCATTGAACCCCTCTGTTCTGTTGATTTTCAAGCAAGCGAATGCTGTTGGAACTTTTGCTTTTATCTGGCAATGAATTAGCTGTTCCATAATTTTCGCTTGGGGAATCGGGTTCGCCATCTCCTGGTGTTGCACTTTGTATGATTACACAAACAAAATACCTGAGTTTTTGGTTTTGTATTCTTGCTATTACCTTGAGTTAAACCATTTAAAGGCTAACAAAACAAATTAAATAATTAAATATTATTGAACACCTCATTAAAATATGAAAATTTCCCAAAATGAATAACAAAAAAGTTGTCAATCAAAATTTATATACAAAAGAGAAATTGTAACGTAATAAAATTTCTAAACTAAAATTATACTTTTGAAAATCATAAAATTATATTAAGAATATTAAGCGTCGGCTTCACAGTTATGGTGTTTTCGATTTTATATGAATCGTGTGGGACTTATTGAAAATTAATAAAATTGCGTAGTGCAAATGTTCTGTTTGAAAATCAAAAGTTCGAAAAATAATTTGTGAAACAACAAAAAATAGCTGCACTCATGTTGGAAAATCAACAACATGAAAATATTAATGACTTGGATGAGCACTTCGCCTTAAATTTAATGCCTGATGATGAGCTAGAGAATAGCTGTTCTCCAATATGGATGTATAATATAGGTGAAGCCTTTGCTGATATTTCTGCAACTGGTCAATTACCCGATGGTAAGTTTAGGTATCAACGCCTAAAAGCAGGCAATTTTATACATAAAAACAAAAGTATCTTCTCTCTCTAATTTTTCGAAAATTAGACAAAGAATAAAACTTAATTTTAATTACTAAAATTGTATTTATAATTCCACAGGCTATGCAACAAGTGTAGGTTATGGACACCGTTTTCGAAATAGTGAATTTCTACCACTATTCACACACTATCCAATAATTATTTATCTGCTTATTCTCGGCATTATCATAACATTAGCAGGGTAAGTTGCAATGGGAATTTTTTGAATTTTACTAAAACTTAGTAGTACATTTCAAAAAGTTATATTTAAAAAAAAAATCATAGATAACGGCACTCACTGTCCAAAACACATTCAGTAAAATCTGGACTTTTCCATTTTTTTTTTTTAATTTTTATTTCTTTCAAAATTTCAGCTTAGCATTTGCCATTTATCGTTTTCGTGCCGGTACACCACTTTACCGTTACATGAATTGTGAAATGAGTGATGAATTGAGCAAATGGTTTTGTATTTGCTATGTTTTAGTGGTAATAATTTGCGTGATTTTAATGTGAGTCATTTTTAAAATACTCTTAATAAACCAGAAATGTTTTAAAAATGTTTAAAATATAATAAAAAAATAAATATACATTTCATTTCTTACATTTATTTCAGCATCGCTACCGCAATGATGATCACTGCTAACCGTAATATCCGCAAAGCGAAAGCAGAACGCAGATGGCGTCTAAAGTTGGCCGATGAAAGTGTCACTAAGATCATAAAAAAATTAGACGATATCAATCTAACGGAACCCTTGGAGAATTTCAAACAACTCTCATTGAAATTTCAGCACGCCGTAGAAAGTATTTTGCGTAGATTTCGAAGTGTTTTTAATGTAAATATTGTTATATTTTTCAGATGCAACTCCGCTACCTTTACATGGAAATATGATTACTAGAGCAAACGAGGACTTTGGGAGCTATAAAAATGACATTGCTGAATTATTGGAAATATTTTCAGATTGTAATGCATATTTGTTGCACTTCTTGGATTGTAAGTTATATTTGAAAAATTGAGGATGAGGCTTATTCTGGGACAGCTTATAGCTGACTAATGACGGAAAAAAAAGATTTCGTTAGATATATAAAGGGTGGTTTCTTAAGAGCTGTATGAAAGTTTTTCAAATATTAAAAACATAAAATTCAGAAAAATGGCCATTGTTACGCGTGCTATGTGGCATGTTTTACCGTCTTCTTAAAACCACATGTCATGCAAGTCAAGCTCTTGCATTTTGGGCAAAAAAAAAAATTTGATATCATCTCATGGTAGCGCTCGCCATTCACAGTTACGTTAGGGTTCTCAACATCTTTGAAGAAGTACGGTCCAATCACGCCACCAGCCCATAAGCCGCGCCAACCTGTGACTTTTTCTCGATGCTCTTGCAATGCTTCTAGCTGATCTTCACTCCAAAATCGACAATTCTGCTTATTTACGCAAAAATGAGCTTCGTCGCCAACTGACCATAAAACGAAGGAAACACGCGATGAACTTTCTTAACAGAGCACGGATTTTGATAATAAAATTCAATAATTTGCTAGCGTTGTTCGTTTGTAAGACGACTCATGGTTAAATTATAAACCAAACTGAGGATTTTTGATAGTGATACAAAACACGAAACGTGCGTCAACTGTTTAAAACAGTAATTACTAAATGTTAATAGCTAAAAAATCACCCTTTATTCCCACAAATAATTTGCTTGGTCTTACCGAACTGATTTTTACAGCCTGGCGTTACTATGATACAAACGCGACGAAATTTGCAAAGCATGTAGATACTATGGAAAGTCGGTATGCTTTAGAATCGGTGCGAAACGTGAGAACTGATTTTTCTAATGTCGTATATAAGGTAGAATATATCCAATTAAGGTTAAGAATAGCACTATTCGAACCCAATTCAACTTACCATTCACAGGTCATCCAACAAAATCGTGCATTCTACCATTATCATCAAGGAATCCACCGTTCATCTGCAGAGATGCGTTCTGAACAAGTTTTTGAGAAAGAGGAAACAAATCTCGATTTGATTTTAGAAAATGTGAAGAAGAAATTGGGAAAAATTGGTAAATATTCTCAGATAATTAGAATTTTTCTTTTTCAACACTTCTATTTTAGGCAAAAGACTCCAAGAGCATAGCATTAGAATGAAGGAAGCTAAGGAAAATTTACGTGATGCCCCAAAAGGTGCCGGTTACATCGAATTTGCTGATACACTTTTAGGATTTGGAAATTTTATATGCATAATAATATTGTTGGTAAGTACTAGCTCAGTATTCATAGAGCTAACTTGAGGCTTAGCTCTTCAGAAGCTGATCGGAGGGGACGTTCTTAGCCAAACTTTGTCGTTATTATTAAACAGAGTAGCATCTATTTACCGAATTCAGCTCATTCCTCTACGACTTCTCAGAAATCTGTTTGCGAAACCTTTCTTTGATTTCCCCTAAAGATACTTTGCTGCTGTGGACCTTATTAAAAATTCGACTAATAGACGCCCTCAACTTAGAGAAATCAGTCGGACAACCAAAGGCTTCCACTGAATTTCTTAATTCTAGTGTCTATGATCTCTTAATCACGCTTTTCATTTAGAAATGAAACCTCACTGAACTCTTGTCCAGTTCAATGAGAAGAGCTGAAGTAATACTACTTTAATACTGATACTAATTCATGTGCATCAAATTTATCCCAATGACACCAATGCAGTAGAAATTTGGACGAGGTCATAGAGCCTTCGCCTAAGAGCAGTAATAAAAACACCTCACCAAATTAAAAATGCCTCAGTCACCCGTAGCCGATCTCAGAGCTATACGGCTGTATGTTTAGGTTAACCATGTCTTTGTTGTAGAAAAACTAAGGATTACGTTTCATAGAACCGAGGAATATCCACCATCAAGCCCTCTCGGTGATACTTACCCTTCTTGTTTCTTTCTAACCTTTCAGATAGTCTTTCTCTCCCTGCTCTCCATGCCCCTTTGGTATTGGGGAAGATTTTATTGTTGCAAATGTGAATTTGTAGCAAGTGTTTTGCCACTGACGTAAGTACCGGAAAGTTCAATGATTTTTCCCCAACTAATTTTGACTGTTTCACACATTTTACGCGAAAGCACTACAGCTGTGATATTTACATTTTATCTACCATTTGTATTGGTCATCGTGTATTACTTCCTCTACGGGATGGTGGCAAGAGATGGTATTTGTGGCGGGAAGCGGTAATTATTATAAAATTAAAATGAACTATTCTTTTTTTAAATAATTTTTCATTCATTTATTTAGCCCTCAGGCCTTGCACCGATCCAACATAATCGACGACTGCCTGAATGGCACGGCCATATTCGAAACTGACGCTTCAGCCGAATATAGAATTGAGACGGGAAATATTGAAGCGGTTTTAAGTGAGTTGGAAAATCTGCCGCATCGTATGAAGCGCCGCTCGACGCCAATCAACGGAAATCGCACCTCCAAATTTGAAATATTTCACATCAACAAAACGATCATACAAGATATCTATGTGGAGATGCTAAAAGTATCAGTTTACGCGCCGAAAAATATCGAGCCCTTCGCCACACTCTGGCAAGCCCATCGGTTGAGCGGCAATAGAGCTTTACGTGGATTAAACTGCACACATGCAATTGGCAATACAATGGTCGTATCATTACACGGACAAATCGCTAACGAAATGGATAAATTGTATAGAATGACATGGCGCATTGAATCATTGCTTCAAGATTTACCCCACCGACCGCAGGATCGCACATCGGATTCTAACACGAATTTTAGTAGTGTGTTCGATTTATCGAGAAATTTACGCCGGATCTTCAATAAGGAAAGAGAGCAGTTGGATCGGAGCGTATATCGCACGAGTCATTCAAATGTTGGTAGCTGTAAGACCGTCGCGCTGCTTTATAAGACACTGGCCACGGTTGGTTGCGACTGTCTGGTACCATCAATGGTGAGTGGAAGGGGAGAATTTTAGGGCACAAAATTTAGTTGCACTCCATCAGACGTTCTTTTTGCAGTGCGAAGTTACTAAGGTTTTTTTTGTGCATTTACTCAATATTCCTCTCCTAATCTACCCTTCAAGTTGTTGTTGTTGTTGTAGCAGTTCACTAGCCCCGCTTAGGCACAGGTTTGAATCAGTCTAAGTCGCTGAGGTCATCTAATGGAAGGTCCAGGAAACGAGCTGTTTCGACGGGGTTGGGGTTGAACCAAAGGGAGAGGGGGGTTAGATGAGTTGGTTTGAGAGGGCATGTGAAGAGGTGGTTAGTGTCGTGCGGAGACTCTCCACATGCAGGGCATACCTTGGGTATGCTGGGGTCTAGTCTGGATAAGTAGGAGTTTAACCTGCTACAGTATCCAGACCTGAGTTGTGTCAGGGTCACGCGGGTCTCTCGAGGCAGCTCGAGCTCGTTGTCTGCTTTACCCCAGGTGCTGCCGGCTAGCGCTTTGAGTATTTTGTTGCGGCTCTGGAGTTTCGCGGCAATTGCGGTCGTATGCGGAGTGAAGGAGTGCAGGCTGTCTAGGGTTACTCCCAATGTTTTTGGGTTATTTACCGTCGGAATTTTTGTGTCATCGACCTTCACATCTAGTGCAAGCCTGTACTCCTTCTTCCAGCTGGTGAAGAGGGTAGCCGAGGATTTCGTCGGTTGTTGTTGTTGTAGTCGGTGGGTCAACCCCGCCTAGGAACAAGCAAAAAAGTCTATATCGACGGCGTCGTTAACGGGAGGTGAAGGAAGCGAGCTCCTAGATGGGTATTGGATGAGTGGGTTTTAATGGTCATGCACAGGCGTGGTTAGTGCTGTACGATAGCTCATTTCGTGTTGGGCATAACTTAAGTTTGTCGGGTCAAGTCGGGATCGGTAAAAGTTGACTATACTACAATATTCACACGTTAACCTTGCGAAAGAGCGGTGAATTTCGCGAAGCAGCTCGAGCTCTTCACCATCTATGAATGGCGGTTGGATTCCGAGTATGTTCCGACCTATGAGTGATGCACAGATGATATCAGAAGGTTTCTTGTGACGGTCCTTAAGACGAGATGCTAGCCCTCAATGCAGAGCGACATAATTAATGTACAGCCCATCGGTCGGCCATTTGTCTTTCAGAATATAGGTTCTGCTTTTGTTGTTGCTCTATAATTTGGTAACAATCACAGTTGTATACGTAGTTAAGGAATACAGACTGTATAATATAATTTGTCTCTTGGAAACAGTTTTTGATAGAAATTATACAGACCCCGCACACGTAATTTTTGAGTGCAAAACACCAAGGGAAGGCGCATAATTATGTGACTTTAAGATTGAATCCTACTAATATTCAAAGTTTTTCTCTATTACCTATTTTCTTCTCTTTTATCCCAAAACAGAATCTCTATTGGTTTGGTGCACTTGTGGCAGTTTGTCTGATTTCGCTGCTCCTCCCACTGCTATTGTGCCAAGAAGAAATGATTCGAAGAAAACGGTCAGATAGTGTACACTTCGCATATATAGACCCAGATGGTAGAAGACATTCGCAAACACGAAGCTCTAGTCGGCCAGGTACATCACATTCCACACACAACAGTTATACACCATATTCAACACGCACCGGCACTCCGCAATCGAGCAAACAGGAGGGTTCGCCACATTCTTTGCGACACTATTCGCAACATGATATGCGAAACTCTTCGCCATACTTTGAACGTCGTTCTACACTTTACTCCGATCATGTGGATACACCATACGCCAGTCACACAAACACACCATATTCCACACGAGCAACCACACCGTTTTCTAGTCACCCCGAAACACCATATAATTCGCACCCAGTCTCACCACATACCAGTCAATGCGCGACACCGGCGCCCAGTCGCCGTGGCTCATCACATTCCAGTTATTATGGTACACCGGACATAAATAAAAACGCCTCACCTGAAACATCGCATTCCACACGCGACAAAAGTATCGAACGAACTCCCACCAGGGGTACAAGCTTAGCTTTAAAACTTCCACCCGATAATGAATCATTTTTATCGGACTACAAACGTTTTGGTGTAGAAGATCCTTTTGTTCAACAATTTACAGAACGTTTGAGTCGACGTGATATGTTACCACGCCGCCAACAACGGAAACAGCAATACCCTAGTGAGGCACAACATGACTTAAGAGATTACTCCAAATACGAATCCTTCCCGGAATCGTCTACAAACGGCGAAGGGAAGCTTCTACGCACGTTGAGACCAAACAAGTTACACATAGAGCCGAGAAGTGTGTGGAAGAATGCCGCGTTTCGTTATCCCGGTTTGGCAAGCAGTGACATTAGCGCGAATCAACCAACTCGTATGCCTACAAGTATATCAAAAGTTATAGAACAACGTGCCAAAAGTCGCTCAAAACACATGTCGACCCAGCTGATACCGCAGGAGGAGGCGAATGTGACAATTCTCAACGAACCCACAACTAGTCGTGCGAATGCGCAATTACAATTTCCACCTGGCAAAATTGGCATCGTTGTATGTCCTTGCGGTTGTGGTAAGCCCTCGAAAATCTATGGCACAAGAGAGGATATTGAGCGCATTAGAAAAGCGGGACACGTTTGTATTGCAAAGCGGAGTGCACAACTGCGGAATAAACACCTCAGACCTTTGGCATCGGTTGTGCAGTTGGAGGAGGCAGATGAGGGAGATGAGGATATGGCGTAGTGTTGTTTTGAATTTGGGAATATTTATTTTTATAACATTGTATATATATACATATATGGATATAATAAAATTTTCATATATCTATAACGAATTGGGTAGATAAAATTTATGGTCTTTAAGGCACTGGAATAATTATATATATTACAAATGTATGTGATAATAAAACTCGCGGCTTCACTTCAAATCCGCCAACAGCGCGGGATCAATTAAATTCAAATTTGCATAAACATATTGAAAATTAAACTGCGGCATTTCACGTTCTTGCTCTTTGATTGAACGCAAGCCAATATGTGGACGCAAAAAGCTATCGGCCAAAGGAAACCAACGCAACTGTATATCTGGCGCACGATTTTGCTTGATCGCCTCGAGCATACGTTTCCGATGTTGCATATAAGTTATGCGAAATATTTTTATTTTCTTCGCTACATACTCAGCGTCCAGTCCATATCCCATAGCGGCGGCAATGTCTTCAATTGCAGCGGTGCGCATTTCACGCGAACGATAATCGGGGTCGTTAAGATCCCAAAGACAACGATGTGCACCATATAGACGTAAGAACTTCACAGAATGTTTAAGTGACCATTTACCCTCTAGCAAATCATCTTCGAGTCCATTCCAAATGAGTTTCATTGGTGGGTTGGAATAGTTTGGTTGTTCACCGTAGTAAGCGTCGCTCATGCTGTTACTATCCTCATTATTTGCTGACGGCTGCGGTGTGCCAACTTGTGATACGACGGGAGAGACAAGCGCATTGAACTGCTGATCAGCGGACGAGTGAGATAAGCGCGCAACATGGCATGAGGTATCTAATTGCTCCATTTCATTGATTGCTGCGGACAGTCTATCCATTTTTACATTCTCGTAGACATCTATTGGCGGAAGCTTCGGTGTATCTAAGTACTCCTGCACCATTGGCCACCACACCACATTCGGTTTGTATTCGCTGTTTTCTTTGATTTTCACCATCTCTAGTTGAAAAGTGTCTAGAAATGTCGCTAGACGCTTTCTCAAGCGCTCTTTGGGTAATTGCATTGTATGTGAAATCTCTTCCAAGGCCATCACTTGCTGACTTGACTTCTCCTCCACCATTTCCGGATCGTTAGTGTTCAACTGCCAAAGTAGTGGATATGAACGAAGAAGGAAAACGAACTGCAAGGACTCATGTGTAGTCCATGTTCTTTTCTCATTTACAATACTTTCTTTAACATTTGTTGCTCCTTCTTCAGTTTTGTTTCGATAAGGGCTGGCTGTATCAAGGTCAATGCTATTCGCGACACTTTTAGATTCCTGCGCAGAAAATAAATACATAAATATAATTTTTGGTGACTTATGTTAAGAAAATAAAAGAACAAATTAAATTAAGTTAGGCATTGAAGGAATAGAAAATTCTGAGTTTATCAAAGAAACACATGTCCAAAAAAAAAAAATCCGAAAATATAGAATGTCCACGGCAAATGCTGTAGCTGAATGGGTGGTATGTAGATAGTGAAAGGTCGAGAATGGTGGCGGCTGCTTTTTCGTGTTATTAGGACTTGTTCAACCCTGCCTAGGAGTAGTCAAAACTACTACTACATACTACCAGTGTATGTATGTGTATTGGAGCCGCAAAAATATTCCCTAAAGTAGGTTTGAAGAATGTTGCGGGAGTGATAGTCCTTGGCCGGATATGAATCCGGGTCGTTCCGGTATAAAGACTCTACTGGCGCGGAACCTTTTGGATTGCCTTACACTCACGCCTCACGCTCCAACTTTTGGGCTTCTATGATTGGTGGTTGGATTCTGAGCACGGCACCCACGTGAAGAAAGTTTATAAAGGCGTTGGCAGACTCTCTGCAGAAGGTGTTTGGGCTGCGGTATTGTACACGGGCTTTAAATGGAGTACTCCTTTCCAGAACGATTATTAAAGAGCAAAATGTTAAACGTTAAAAGTATACATGATTGCTATTACAGTTAATTCGGTTACCTCTTTAGGCTCCACTTTGATATTCCAATTTTCATTTTCGACAGTATCATTTGTTTCTTCCAGCGATATCAACGATTCCGGGTCAATGGTGAACACTATAGTGTCTTCCAAATTTGAGTCACTATCAACATCCTAAACATGAAAACATTAATAGCATAAAGCGACAAATGTGATGTATGTACTAAAACCTCTTTCTTTTTATTCTTTTCTGACCGTGGAACATTTCTCAAAAAATGATCAGCTAAAGCAAACCACTTTAATTTAGTTTTAGCACCAATCCCTCGGCGAATGCGCTGCTTGATGCGCCGTTTCTCATAACGGTATGTAGCACGGAGAACGTTAATCTTGTGCAGCACCTGCGCACAAGTATTATCCTCTCCCAGAGCGGCAGCGATGTCAATGAGTGCGGCTTTACGCAATTTGCGGTTACGATTATCTGGATGTCGAGTATCCCACAAGCACTGATGAGCGGCATAGAGCCGTAGCAGACGCATCAGCTGCTGAACGCTCCACTTATTAGAGATATTGTCTTCTATACTGACTTTACTTTGATTGTTGGAAATATTTTTAAACTGTGATATAAAACACATCAGCTTAATATTTCAAGGTAATTCTTGAAAGAATACTTACCTGTTTGCTTTCAGTTGTTGTACTTTTTTGAGATTCATCCTCCTCGAGTGGAATCCAAGTTTTGAGGTCCCCTCGAAATGAGTATGATGACATTCCGAAGGCACGCTGAATGATGGAATTAAGTTGTGCTGGTGATGTTATCTTTCATTCAAATAATTTAATCTTATTGGTGGATTGTTAGACATTCAGTTTTTTCACTTCGTAATTTATATTGTGTTAATGCATTAAATGATTTCAAAATAAATTTATAAATACTTTAGCAACATTCAGTTTTTTCACTTCGTAATTTATATTGTGTTAATGCATTAAATGATTTCAAAATAAATTTATATATTAATTAATTATTAGCTAGCATATACATAACTAAAATCAATGTAATATTTTTCACAATTCTTAAATACTTTATTAAGATAAGAAAAAGAAAAGTCACTCAACCGGCGGTCAATTTGAAAAATAAACAAATTTGCAAAGCTACCATCCCATTCAAATATATTCTTATATTTTTAACATTTCTAACAACTTTTTGAATTTTTAAATTAGTAATCGGCTTTGTAAATAAAGATATTATATATTTTTCTAATCAGAGCAAAAAAGTTTCTGATCTAAGTTTCTAAATTATTCTGTTGTTAATGACGCTATTTGATTCCCTGACAGTCCGTAAAATATCCCTAAGTAATATTTTGCGACTTTGGCAACATTTGCAGCTATCAAGAATAAGATGAAGCAAACGAGTCACAAAACATTGTCAAAGTTGTTGTTGTTTTTGACTTTTGGACATAGACAAATTTTTCACTTCTTGCAATAAAAGAATATTACACAAAAACAAAGAAAATGTTAAAAAGTTGAAACCAGTACGAAACAATCAAACTTTCATCGATTGTGGCTGAGTGGTAACGAAAATTCCAAACCATTTACTACGCAGCAACCGCCCCATGGACAACATTGCGTAGAGACCGTATAGAGTTTAGAATAAACAAAAATAACAAAAAAAGTGAATATATCCGAACTAAATTGTAGTTAAATTAGTGTGTTCGTACGTAGTAGTTTTCTTTGAAATAAATCTTCAGCTAAATAACCAACGGAACCCATTTAGCCCGGTTGAAGTTTACAACGGTGGCGATGGAAAATTTGCAAGGGCGTAACTCTGCTGGTAGTAATGGTACGTTTTTCAAAAAAGTTTCCGACACAGAAAACTTGAAGGTTGGTCATTGTGCCCAGCCTCTTCATCTGGGAACTGATAATGGAGTCACTAAGGCTTTTGCAGTAATACAGAATGACTGCAATTGTCGAAGTAGTGTTGGTAGTAGCGGTGTGTTATGTGGTAAAGACAATGGCAGTTGGCTATCCTGTGGCCAACAACATATGAATAATAATAACAACAATAACTCGGCAACCAAGTGCAATGTAGACTTACCAACAATACCAGCTGTGACGGCAACTGATGCGTCATGTGCCGGTATTGTCGCTAGAAGTGACGTTGCTGGTGGTGGTGCTGCGAATGAAAAAGACTGCTGTGAAAGAAGAACAGATGGTGTGGTGCGCACAGACTTTGGTATTACTGAAAATAATTGCATCGGACTGATAGCAAAAGTGAATACCGATGCAGAGAAAAAGGTATGCAATTTTATAAAGTCCATATAAGGTTCTAACACATTTACTTCCTTCTTAGCTTAATGGATCCTCTAATGCCACAGTTGTCACTTCCTCATCGCCAGTAGGTGCCATGCCTGTAACGTTAACTGCCAGTGGCGTGGCAACCACTGCAACTGCTGTAACTACACTCAACGACTTTAATGAATGTTCATTTGATGTCTTCTCAGCTACTGAAGCGGCGGCAGCTAGCGCTGTTTCCCCAAGTGCTTCACTGAATAACTCCACCGAAAACTTAAGCTATGCTAGTGATAATTTATATGGTGATGACTTATTGTTTTTGGAAGGCGACGATGATGCTAACGATATAAATGTTGATGCGGAGGATATCTCTCTCAATTCAGATGATTGCGTTTATGCATATCGCGGTGATGGAGCCGATTTTGATCTAAACTTGGATGGTATTTCGGGCCGTGGTAACTGCCCTGGAAACATCTGTATGGCTGATGATGAGACCGATTTTCTTGAAATGGACTTCGAACCGGATCCATTATCAGAGATTGAGTATGGCTCTGTTGAGGCTGCGCTTGGGCCATCGGATGCATTTCTAATGCAACGTGAAGCTTGCCAGTTAAGTGGTCGTCATTCAGCGACGTTAGGACATTATAGTAATGGTTCAGCAGCGGCGCAGAGACTCTTATTCAGCTCGCCAATAGATGATAGTTTGCCTCCACCACCCGCAAAAACACTACAGTCTCAACTACTTTTGAGCAAGAACTTTGCGCGCATAACAATGCACTTAGATCAAATTAAAGGAGAGAATGGCGACTGTGAAGCGTTTGAGCGCATACAAAGTGATCGCGCATCTGCGCTGGGCATGGCAGACGACACTGTGGATGCTGTGCCAAATAGTGTGATAAACGCGGCGCAGTCACTGCCAAATGCATTATTTTCGAATTTCGGGCGTGATTTGCTGCATAAAAAAGAGGAATGCAAAGCTAGTCCCACGAAAGTTACAGGTGTGTAAATAATATTGAAACTTGTTGTATTTTTGTTACTATATTTGTTTTTTAAATTTATCAGGAGCCAAACCAAAACGATTTTCCACATTTTCAACATCCTCATCGACTTCTTCCAAGAACTCGTCGAAATCTCGCAACTCGCTCCGCACCACTTACGCACTAACAGCACTCTCGAATAGTGCTAGCTTCGATGAGCGCAGCGCCAGCTGCACTGAGTTTCGGTGCTCAGCACCAAAGGCACGCGTAAGTACTGAGAATTGTTTGCGCCTTGACACACAGCTAGTCTCTAACACAGCAACGACCACTACAACAACCAACAATGATGGCGATGATTTCAGCGGGAATGATGATACCTGTCTGGACTGTTTGGAAAAAGAATTTCTTGCGAGCACCATTGGCAAGGCGATCGATATAAATGAATGTCCTCGCTGTCGCAAACGTTCCAGCAGCAGCATAGCGCTTTTCAAGCGTGCCGCACAAACTCCAACAGGCACTACGCGCTGTCGCAGCGGTTCGCCATTGATTTTCAAAGATGCGCGGGATGATTGCATATTTGGTTCAGGTCTCGGTGACTACTTGCAGCCAAGAAATCTTGACTCGGCCTCAGCTGCTTTTAGAGATATACGTATGCTAAAGGACGATAGGTGGTTGGGTGATAGCGTGAGTTGTGATGATAGTGGCCCTTGTGCTAGCGAGTCGAGGGTGAAACCACGCTTGCGTACGCGTGTACGTGCACGCACATGCGATGCTGAGGTGTTGCAACAATACCAAAAGAAAGAGGAGAGCACTAACCAAAGACATACAACAACGGGTGATAGTTGCTTCGAGGGCAATGAGCAAGTGAGTTTGTACAAGAAGTTGCAATATTAGTTTCTAGGGAAATTAACCAATGGTGATTTATCAATTTGCAGCTTTTAAAGAATCTCTTATTGACTGAAAAGGAAGCTGTCACAGTTACCGCTTTAAATTTAAGTGAGGAGTTACTAGTGGATGCTTTGGTGAGTGCGATGTACAAAATAATAAATCCAAAACACTTTTGAAACAAACTTAGCGCTTCATTTCAATATATTTTATTTCTAATAAATAACTATGTTTTCGTTCGCAGAACAAACTTCATGTATCATATAATTTGGAGCTGATCAAATCACATCTACACTCCTTTGTATCGAATGCTGCCACGACAACAACTGCAAATACAACGCAAATACCTGCAATATCAGCTATACATAAAAGAATGAAAGAATTCAAAGATTTAAAACATTTACTCATGCATGAATCCAAAAGGCACTGCAATTACCCAAAATTGAAACTCTTAATAGAGTTGGCAACGCGACAACAAGTGGAAGTAGAATTTCAGCGGGTAAGTATTGATATAAGTTAAAAAAAAAACAAAAACTCATAGACACAAAGGTTTATTCAATAAAAATATTTCCTTTTAACCCCAAAAGGATGCCAATGACGTTACTGCACACACATGTGTGCCCGTGAAAGTCGCCGATATCTTACAACAATGGGTGCGTACTAAAAATCTCAGTGTCCTGAAGCATTTAGATAAACGTTTTGTCGAGGCAAATGTTTTGGGTAAATTATTTTGAGCTTTCATTTGGCTTTGTACGCTTTTAAGAGCCAAACTCTTTTTCGCAGGTAAAATAGCAAATATCATACGGCAGGCGCAGCAGCGTTGTGCACCGCGACGGCCATTACCCGAATGTATATTGATACCACAGTTTTATGCTGCTGGCGTTTTAAAGCTAACAAAGAAAACTTAAATTTTACTACAATAAGGCGCTGCGATTTGTATGGCTGTATTAAATTTACTTATATATTTATCCTTTTTTTACATATGTATTTGAAAAAAAAAAAAAAACTAAACTAAAACTAAACCCTTGTTGTGCTATTGTAGGCAATAAGTAAACATACATACATAATCATAAGCGTGCACATAAAGCACAAAGCTCACACACTTACGCATATTGATGTTGTTGTTGTTATGCATAAATAAATAATGCAAAATGAAAACACTTAAAAAATTAATAAATTGATTTCAAATTGCGTAATTGAAGTAATAGGAAACAAGAAATTCTATAAGAATAAAAAATAAAAGAAATTTATTACATATTACAATTGAATATAAAATGCATGACTTACATACAAACATATAATCATAATCATAAATATCAAATCAAATGACATTGAAGAAGACGCCCACGCAGAGCTCGCCCATGTATGGAGCAACATATACGCATAAACTGATAAACTGTTTGTTTGTAAACATAACAAATATAGATGAGAAAACAATTTCATAAAATTTGTTTGGTTCATATACCCAGTGCTTAAATGAAGGCAACATAAAACCAGCAGCTACGCACTATAAAAACTCGTGTAATATTATTTTATTCCTATAACATAAATATTTAATAATTATATAGTTATAAACACAAACGCATATTATAATGTAATTATATACTCAATATTAGTATGTTTAGGAAAACTAATATATACATATATATGTTTAAGCATATATGTATAAAAACTGATAAATAGTCGATAGCAATTAGAATGTTGGAATACCATACACAATCACGTGCACATATATTCAAACATATTACATGTAGGTATGTTCTGAAGCCCGCTTACTTAGTAAAATAAGCAGGCAGTTAGGAATCACGGTCCTCTTTGCTGACGCACACTTTAAATAAAGGTTAATTAGAAAAGGAACAAGTGTATGTTTGTTAATTACAATGAAAAAATATAATAAAATATACAATATATATATATGTATAGTGCTAATTAGCATGTTGAAAAGTTTGAGAAAATTAAACTTGTGTCACCTTCATTAATTCATACTTCTCGCTGCTATTTTCTTTAGTATTTTGTTCGCATAGCACATGCATGTTGGTCGCACGACAAACATATTATACACAATATAACAAAGCTTGAATTATAACCACTAAATGTTTAATATGATGTTATATATAGCTAAAAAAAAAATTAAAAATGGCATAGCAATAAAGCAAAAGGCAAATAAATTATTAAATATAAACACACACATAAATTCCTTTGAAAATTTTTAATAAATCCAAGCTTGAATAAAATATTGGTCCTGAGGAAATTTGAATTCAATCTTTACCAACTTTAGAGTGGTGGAGTATAGTCGAGTGAAAAATATCACATTAGTAAGGATACAGTGGAAGCTCACAAATTAGAACCACTTTGTTCTTTGGTGGGTCGAATTTTCGAATTGTTCTAATTTCTGAAAATTTTTTTTCGCCATGTAACCTGTTATATGTTTGTTGTTGTTTTTACTATAACCGTATTCCCCGAATTCGTTATCGGGGAATATTGTGGGAGTGACAGTCCGGTATAAAAACCCGCGAGAGTCGCACACACTATTGAATTTTAGTCACCTCTCATAGCAGGCACGCCTTACTACGGGTAAATTCTTGAACCTCTAACCCGTACCACTTATTTAACTTGTTCAAACTCTCGATAGGAAGAGAATATGATGTGGCAGGCCAACTTTCAATAATTTTCTCGTGTCCAATAGTCTCGCCTCCGAAAAAAATTATGTTTCATCAAATTCTTCTTCATTGAAATCGGCGTTCCAATCTTCAATTTCACTCTTTGGATCAAGATCTTTTAAAAGATGGAGGTCCGGAAGAACTTGTTTGTTGTTTTGGTTTCACAAAATCCATTGTATAAGTGGCAAATCATTCTCGCTTTCGAATGCCTCAAAGTCCCAATTCACCATTTTTGACCAAGACTTTCCAATTGCACTCAGCTGCAGTTTATCCCATGCTTCTTTCGATAATTATGGCATCGCTGCGCAAGTCTTGTTGTAACCTCAAAAATATTCCCCAAAGCAGTTTTTGGGAAATGTTGCGGGAGTATCAGTCCTTGGCCGGATAAAAATCCGGGTCGTTCCGGTATATAGACCCGACTGTCGCGGGACAGGCATGCCTTTTACGACAGGCATGCGTTACCGCGGGTAAATTCTTGAACGCTTGCTTCGGTGGAATGTACAGTGCAGTCATGTTTCTGTTATCACTCTGAAATTTTTCGAATGGTGCATGAGTAGAGCAGTTGTCAAGACGTAAAAGTATCTTCGGTGGCCAATAGTTTTCATCAGAGAAACGAGTTAGCTAAAAATTGAGGTTTACCATTTTTATTAACAATTCTATGAATCCAATTTTGGAAGATACCTGACGTCATTAAATATTTATTAGCAGAAATTTTTCGAAAAATCGTAGGGAAGTGGGTTAGAATTATAAATAAATTTATTACTTATTATATTATATTAAATTTATTTCGCTCAAAATTACCGTTTGCCTACAGTATAGGGCCAGTCAAAGTGCACTTATTTTTTATTTTCCACTTCCGAATATGCTTTCTAGTGCTAACCTTTTGCTTTCGCTTCGTCAAAAGTGTTAGAGACAGCATCCAAAATCAGGTTTATGTAATTTTTTATGGAGCTGATTGCAGGCTTCCTAAGTTTATTTGATCCTTAGCTTCAAACTCGGTGTACTTTTTACCTTTAGGATAATTCTAAGAGAATTCTAATTTGTGATCTTCTACTGTGCTTCCTTTATTTATGGAGCTCGAAAAGTGTATTTCGGTGGAACAAATTTATACATTAATACATTATTTGGCCCTTTTTTTAGTTTTTAATATATCATCTAAAAATTTAACTGAAACCAACATACATATTCATAGTATATTATTCAAGTAGATCGCTCCACTTCCTATAAAAAGGGAATTTCAAGAGAAAAGTACCATAAATACGATTTTTTGGAATAAGGGGTCTCTGGTGCAGATCACAAATAAATCGAAACATAACTAAGAATTTTCGAATCGGTCAGTCCCCGGTCCACGTAATCACATACGAGTAAAATGCGTATTATCTAATATTCCATTTCTATGCCTTTTGTGCCCTAATACCCATTGTGAATATCTCGAACAAACCCCTCCTCCGGCCCTGCTCATTCAAACCGAAAAGCAAATAAAGGAAAAAGTAATACAATTTTTCTAATCATATTTTTTTGAAGAAATAATGTAAACTTCAAAATCAAAATAATCGTTGTTTTCTATTGAAAATACACAGGCGATGGAGCCAAGTCGCACAAGAGTTTGCATTTGCTATTTAATATCGACCTGTTTAATTGCTTGCTTCATTTATATATTAGTATCCAGCAATTTGGAGAATACTCGCAAATTTGGCCGACTGCGTGAGGAGGTGGATGAGATTGCGGTAAGTGAAAATTTCAAAAAAATAAATTTTTTAAACGATGATTTTCTTTTGCTGCCAGCATGTTATACTACACACTGCGCCGGGTCAGGGCGATGCGAAGCATTTAAATGAAATTGTTGATGGTATTGTGAAAAAAAGACTCGCCGGCATTTGGGATGATTTGTATACAATGAAGAAACAATTGCGTCTCACCGAATGTACAAAAGGACGCTCGCAGGGCTCGACGCAACATACAATGCCGGGTGAAGGCGAAGGTGGAGGTGGTGGGGGTGCTTTAATGGAGCATTCAATGCCGGGTCGAGTCAACTACGCCGCCGAGGAACTAGGCGCCAAAATACAGGATGTTAATGCAGAGCCAGTAGATGGTGGTAATGTAGTGCGTTCAGTATTGGGCCTGCAATATAGCGCAAATCCGCCCATCAATATAATAAAACCAAGTATGGAGCCGGGTAATTGTTTTGCTTTCAAGCAATCTAAAGCGATGGTTACCATTAAGTTGGCACAGGCGGTATGATTTTTTTGTGTTCTTATATTATTTAAGCTAAATTTGATCCTTACAAATACAGATATTCGTGGAGAGTTTTGAGTTGGAGCACTTATGTAAAGGCAATGCGCCGAATAATGATACAACAAGCGCGCCGAAGGACTTTGAGGTTCATGTATGTGTCTTACTTATTTCTAAACTACTTTAAAACCACTCGAATTAGCTTAGCCACTTGCTGTGCCTCCTAAACGTATGCTACTAGAAGAAGATTTATATTCATAAATCGTTTTCCAAATTTGGTTCTTCATTCTAAAACACTCATTTACTATTGCACTTTTCCGTGGAGAAAGGTCAAAGGGTTGTTTCATTCGCTAGTTGGTCTGTCATGCAACTGCCTGGGATGCCACTGCATCCAGACAACGAGACCACGGCGGTGTTGCAGTTAGTCGAGAGTTTGTTGCTGTAGATTTGAGCCGCCACTCAGCGGCATCTATGATTGCAAAGAGCTCTGCTTGGAAGACGTTGCAGTGCTTGGGTAGTCTCATACTCATATTTACTATTCAGAACATCGGAGAGTGGATACCGCAACTCTCTTTTTCGTCGAGCTTTGAGCCGTCTGTAAAGATGGTTATGGCTCTCGTATTGAATACGTTCGTGTTTTCCCACTCATTTCTGTTTGGGATTCTCATGGAGAAAAGATTGTCGAAGCACATACTGGAGGTTGTGTAGTCCAGCTTCTTCGGAATTTCTGCAAGAGATAATATTTTAGTACTGTAACTCTTCCAAGGTTGAGATGCAATCAAATTATTTGCGTTTTGCGTTGCAGCTCGCTTGTAATTTCCCGTGTCACAATGTACCTTAGGATAGATTTTGAAAATATATATGTATAACATGAGGTGTGATAATTAGGTAATGAGACTGATTCCATGCCATACCCTTCGAAGTAGCCCCTTTGGGCAGCCATACAACGATTCCAACGATACGCTTCGACTGGGATGTCCGCGAGTACCCTCGTCAATCGACTCGAAATAGGTTTCTTTGACCACCGATTTTGTTCTAGGGAACAAAAAAGTTACCGGGTGACATACAAGGAGAATAAGGCGGTTGTTGCAACACGGCGATGCCTTTAGTTTTGACACGCTGAGGGCGGTGTAGCACGGCGCCTTGTCGTGATGAAGGATCCAGTTACGAGCGATATGTGGGCGTTTACTCGTTTCGTAATCTTTCGAGCGATAGTAGATTTGATTTACGGTTTGCCCCGGTGGAAGAAATTCTATGTGGACGATTCCACGGTTATCAAAAATGTCAATAATCATAATTATTTTTAATTTTCGTGACGAGCAATACGAACAGCACGACACAATAGGCGAACTAAACAAGCTAGAGCGATGACAAATAAATAAATGGAGAAGAGAATGATGCCGGGAGAAGGAAAGGGAGTTCCAAGGTCGCAGGATTACCACAATCTCGGCAATATAATCAGTCTCATTACTTAATTGTCACACCTCGTATATTGTGCCAATAAAGCAAAAGAATCTCTCTCCTTCCATAAGTCGTTTGTAGCTCATTAATCTGCTTACTCTCGACAGTCGTAGAAAGATGACTGGAGTTTTATTTTTAATTAAATTGATAAGAGGTGATATCAATAGTCTATTCCTCTTTAGCAAGCTTAACTTTACCATCCTTTTCGATGTTTGTGTAACAGTTTCAATACCCATTCCGCCAGCATTCTGTATCAAAACCAATTCTTACCTGTAATTTTTCCATGTTATATTTTGCTCTCGTATTCCTGCAGGGTATCACAGCAACTTCAAAGAAGGAAACAAAATTAGGTGACTTCATATACACAAATCAAGATCCGCCTGCCCAAAATTATGCTGTTAAGAGCGAATGTAAATATCTTTATATCCGTTTCAAGTTCAAATCGAATCATGGGCATCCGCAGTATACATGCGTGTATCGGTAATATTCTCCAACTACTAAAACCCAAACTCGCTTTTAACGAAAATAAGTTTACTCCACATAGCATTGCAGTCTATGGGCGTAGTCAGAAGTGAGTGGCGTCCAGTGTACTTTGAAACAATTGAACTAATTCGAAACGGCTTTCAAGCGCATTTTTTTATTCAAATGCATCCAAATAGTATTTATTATGTTTTTGTCTCAGGTAAAATATTTCTTAAAAAATGTTACTTTTTACACACTTTTGCTTTCTTATATATTTACACTATAAATATTTGTTTCCTTACATAAGTGGCATGTGAATTGTATTTGTTATAATTCTTACATATATTAAAAAGGATTCAGTTTGAATATATATTTTCCATCTGAGTTTTCTCTTACAAAAACATAATATTTATATAAATAAAAACGAAACGATGCCAAATAAATATAATTAACAGTTGGTAGGATGAGTATGAAAGTGAGGGGCAAGAGTTCTAATCGATCCCTATAGCGAACTACGTTTATAGTAGTACTGTTCGGCGACTAGATGGGCGTGTTCGCTGAGGCAAAAACTCAGTAAAATTAGTAACAAGAAAGCGCCATTTTGACCTTTGCTTTGGAGCGAAAGTTGCAAATTTGTGCTGGAAAAATTTCAGCCGGTAAAAAATAAGAGAGTATGAAAAACAGCTGATTTGTGATCCTATGATAATTACTTTAATATGAATGATATGATAACAAAATAAGTGCACAAATTTTATTTTGTTAAATTAAATTTGATGATATCCACGATTCAATTATGAAGCTAAGTTTAGTTACTCCTTAAATGAGAACGTGGTGGCAGTGGAGTGGAATTTTAAAGACATCGATTTAAAATATATTGTTATTTCTTCTACAACGTAAGTTAATTTTGGATTCCTTAAATTTACTAGAAAGCAGTGGCGAGTTATAGCTTCTTTTTTATTTAAACAGAGTGGAATAAACTCTATAAGAATGTTCAGTTATTACGACTTACATGGAAACAGAATTTCAAACTCATTTTCGTTATTCAGTCACTCTACCTGAAAATCTAAGCGACAAATCGTTGTTAAATAAGTTTTATATAAATCTTCGACCTTTTAGAGGAATATTAGAAAAAACATATTGGTATCTCTATCGTTGGATGGCTGTAAAGCATGTAGAATTTCATTACTAATCATTATTAGAGCTTCAATTAATAAACAAAAGAATCTATACAACTGCCAACTTAAAAGCATAAAAAATAAACTTTGACACTGAACGAATGGATGAATTAAAATATACGTGCTAAAATAAACAGCTGATATACAACCGGCAGGATAATTTTTACTGCATCCTGTTCTTTGAAAGCTTCCTAAATTTCTTTAGCAGAGTAAGACAACTTACTCTCTCATTGCCTTTACTGACATTTCTCAACGAACACTGCTATTTTAAGCTGATGGAATGTACGATTTTGGCGCCAAGTTGCTTGTCGGAAAAGGTTTGTTGTTTAAGATGAATACATACAGCTCTACGAAATTTTCCAAATAAACAACGATAAGACAAACGCAACGCCAAAAGTGGGATAATTCTAATCTTTTTGCGCAGGTGGATCAATCGCTGTAATGAATTTGCAGTTATTTGTTTAAGTATTCCACAAATTTCAGTGAATTAAAATGGTATAACCTTCAAAGCAACTACAATAATTTCTTAATAATACAGATTTTTAGCTTTTGATGGAAAAATAATTGAATGCAAGAATGTTCACTGTGTCATAGCAAAGGCTTTCGCTTTTCTGGTAAAGTTGGAAATGTCACGCAACGGAATGCAGTTCTATCTGCAGATAACTTTATTCAAATTATAAGAAAAATCTTTTTGGAAACAGTATTTTTTTACTTTTGAATCCAAAAGCCAATTTGATGACAAATGTTCATTTCATGTCTTTATCCAACACTATTTTTATTTAAAATACTGGGAAGGATTCCGCTGAGTATATGTAACACCTTCACTGCAAACATTTTTTAACTATATGGTCCGTTGGAGTGGTGCAATAGGTACTCCTCTGTAGTGCACTAATGGATGAACTCATGAAATTGAAATTGAGGTTGTTTCGTTTCGATGGTGAATTCTGCTAGCACATAGTGGAAATGCATAAGCTTGTACATATAGATATATATTCCAATCCAAATAAAAAAAAGTTCGCAAACTAAATATGCGGCCGTCATGATAGCGTGGTTAGCATTGGGTACTGACATTTGGAAGGCTCGGGTTCATATCCCGGTGCCACAAACATCCAAACGTTACGGAAAATTGATTTAAACGGGAAAAATTATGTTAAGTTTTCTAATTGCGGTCGCCCCTCGGCAGAGAATTTCCACCCCTCCGAGTGTATTTCGGACATGAAATAAATTTTCGTAAGAAAACCATCAGCCGTTCGTAGGTCAACTGTGGGTCCATCCATTTGTTGGAAAAGCATTAAAACGCAAAACCACAAATGGGAGGAGAAGCTCAGCCAAAATATCGGTTCAGCGGTTACAAAGCGCCAATTAACTATATTTGAACGATTAGTCTTGGACTACTCTGTTGTCCGCGTAAAGTATATAATTCATGAGTGCATGGAGTAGTCGCTTTGTTAGCAGGGTATAGGTAGCTACACATTGATACTTGTATGTATCTAGATACATACAACATAGGCGACGGTGGCAGCAGCAGCAGCTGTTGTTCGCTGCAAGCCCACTATTCCAAACAAATGATGAATGACTTTTATATATTTACATACCATACTTATGTATGCGCAGTTGCGTGTGGAGAGAGAGAGAGAGAGAGATCTATACAGTTTTAAAAGAATCTTCATATGTACATATGTACATATCAATAGGTATGTAAAGTGTGTATGTTTGTTAAATAATATTTTAACGAAGTAGTAGAAAGTGGTAGGCGACGGAAGTGTTAAGCTCGAGTGCTGTGTTCGGCTGGATTCACACAATTTCAAAGTAAAACTTAAATCCCAAATTTGAATTAATTATGAAAAGGGAAATAACCATAAAAATAAAAGTGCAAAAGTAAATTTTTTGTTGTGAATGAAATAAAAAAGTGTTAAACAAAAAATTTCAATACAATCACAATAACATTATTAGAGCTGGTTGATAGCCACTTACATACACGTATGTGTGTATATGTACGCAATATTTTGAGAGAATTATTTAGCAATAAAAGAGAGAGAAAAATTGCTCTTCTGTATAAACATAAGTAATATAAAACAAATTCAAAGTGGTAACAGTTTGCTGTTGCACACACAGGTATATATTTTTATAAAGAGAGAGATGGTCATATAGGCGTAAAACTGTCTACAGTGCTGAGCAAAGTAATAGAATATACTCAGCTAAAAAACTAAAAAACAAAAACAATAATAACATATATATAAAACTATGAAAACATATTTTTTTTATTAATTCAATTACATTTTTTTGTTTGCTCTCTACAAGGGTAACAGATCGCTGCTCTTCGTGCGCCTTTGACTTGTTTCAGTCGTTTCTTTCGTCATGCGCATATTTCGATATCAATGGATATTTTCATTACGGCTATATCATGGTGTGCCATTTATTATTCTTAACGTTGTCGATTTGCATCTTTGTATTAATTTATATTCGGTCCTCGGGCTGTGCCCCATAGCTGGACTCCATTACATCCATATGGGTTTCATACTCGTATAAAAAAAATACTTTGTTTTCAAGTCTGGGCCCAGATTTCTAGCTAAACTCCAATACATAATCGCACATTTAAGCTTAAGCGGCATTTTTTTCGCTAGTTTGTGGTTTAGTCACATTATCGAGCTTTAATGTAAAAGATATATACATATATTTGACCCTTTGTTACGTCTTAAGCGATTTTCCGCCGAGCTTCTCCTCCGATTTGTGGTTTTGCGTCTTGACATTTTATACTAAGATTTGATGGTTTTTTATGAGGAGCTTTATTTCATGTCAGAAATACCCTCGGAGGGGTTGACGAGCCATTAGAAAATTTAGCTTAATTTCTTATTAATTATAGGTGTGCACTTTTCGTAAAGAGATATCATCAAAAAACCTTTAAAAGTACAGTGTATTGATGAAACAGAACATGTCGGATGTACTGCACCTACGTTGCCTCAGGAAGCTACAATGAGTTGGTCTTGTCCTTTAAAATCTTGCTCTTGTCATTTAACATATTGTTCTTTCAGCTTCATTGATTAAAATAAACGCAAACGGAAAATCAAAACAGTTGATTCGAATATCGGTTTCATATCTCTGAGAAAAAACTAAACTCATGTCGATGTCATAACACTATTTTAAACCGATATTTTTAGCTTATTTTCTACTTGCCATTCGCGACATGATGTTTGCTCGAACCAGCAACTCCGCGTGGAGCGGACAGTAAATCGCAGCCAAAGAAAGATCAAGTTCCACCATGGGCTTTGCTTTCTGGGTGATAAAATAAAAGCATAGATTTTAGGATTTGAAGGCAAATTTTTTAGATATTTTTCATCAAATTTTTATTGACCTTCTCGTAATGTTCAGGAAATCAGCATACCGGCAATTATTTTTACTTTCTAAACAGACGCACTTAAAGTTTTTATCAAGGTCGTTTTAGCTTTTCTTTTATGTCAGATATACATTTTCATGATAGCACGTTTTGCTAACAACTCGTTCTCGATTTTGGAAATAATGAGCATGGTTAGCAAACCGTTGACTTGTTTATTTGGTTAAAAAAGTCATATGTTACCCATATCTGCTTCAGATCTTAATTCAACTCTGAAGCGGCTGCAAATATTTCACTCACCACTTTGCATTCAGAAATATCTACATATTTGTGTGCGATGTAGTGAGCATTTTGGAGAGTAAACGTGAAAAATGTAGGGTTTTCAAGTCAACACACACACCCAAACAACCCTCATCAGTCGGAGCACTGCTCATTTAGCAAGCGAGTTTTAATTCATTTCACTTAACATTTGCTTTCTACCAGGCGAACGACGCGGACACAAAAAGTACTAGAAGAACAAGCGGTACGAAAATATAAAATCTTGTAGCTACTTTTTGAAGTGTACTTCATAAGTAGAATACATCATTATTTGAGTTTTCGTGATTTTTTTTTTATCCGAAAACGTTCCAAAAAAGTAAAAGTAATCGAAAATCTATAAAAAGATCAAAGTGAAAAGTAAAGGTGAAAATTTGTGAATATAAAATATCTATAAACAGAAGTGCTAATAGTCAATTTAAAAACCTATGTATTATATATGGATATGTACATACTGAAGAAAGTCAAAGAATTGCTGGACTCTCATTGTGTAATGTCTTGTCGTGCGCGCACAAAGTGAAGCGACGAGTTAAAAGGGTTTAGCCTAATTTGCCAGTAAGACTCAAAGCACCAGGCAGCAAAGAGCTAGGAAAGAAAAAATAACAAATAACAAATAACATAACTTAGAAAAATATCTACGAAAGTAGACCAACTAAACAAGTAAACAACAATTACTTTGTAAGAAATCGATTCAGCGCCCCACTGTGTACTGCAGTAGAGGCTGAGGTTTCTTAGTTTTGTTTAAACCGTCGGTCGTTTGCCTTGTTGGGTGCTCGCAGTACGCTGCACTGGGAGGCCATCAGCCAGTCAGATACGTGTAGTCAGTGCTTGACAAATTACTCTTTTGTTAATTTTTCTCTTACCTTAATTTATGTATTTTTTTGTAATTATTATTTAGCAGCGAAGTGAATTTGTGTGCGACGACGAAAAGTGGAAAATCTTAATGCCTAAAGAATACAAAATGAAAAAATAAAGAAAAATATAATAACAATTTACAACAAAGCAAACACGATAAAAAGTGAACTACCTTCAGAATACACAATTAAAAGAGAAAAAACAAAAAGCACACACCCACTCGTACAGAAGTACATAGTAAACAAATATATAAACAAACAAACTAACAACGAAGCAGCTAAAAGTTTCATAGTTAAAAACAACAATATCAACAAAAACAATATAATATATTTTAAGCATAATTCTTTCACAATTTTTGGACAACAAACTTATAATAACGGTGGAGAAAAGTAAAAGGCTACAACAAAAATGGTGCAAAAATTTCAATCACCCGTCAGGGTCTACAAATACCCATTCGAGTTGGTTATGAAGGTAGGTACAAGAACTCAGGTTATTGGTCGATTCGTATAATGTTTTTAAGTGTTTGAAGTTGACAGTCTGCAGGTGATTATTTCAATAAAATTTATATGAACAATAAAAACAATTCAGTTCGCTCCGTCTGTCTCTAAATAATGGCCTTCGTTGATGATGCAATTATGAAATCATTGTTGTTGTCCGCATATTGCCGGAGTTGAATTTTCTTGCGCTATTTCCATTGAGTAAATTTCATATGTTCGTTCTGGTGGAGAAAACTCTTGCAAGTAGGCCGGTTTTATTAAAAATAAATTAAAAACCAACTGGATTGTTATGGCAACAATGATATTTTAGTCACCAAAGCGGACCACCTTCGGACTCTACGAAGTAGATGAAGCATATATAATATCTTCAGAGAAGAATAAGAATCGCCTTACTCAGACCTAGAAGTAATTAATTATGAGGATTGTATTTTCGCACGGATGAATTCAGCCGAGCTTTTCCGATTTGTAGGGCGCGTCTGATGTTTTCGTCTGAAAGGCAGACAAAATTTTGACAAAGCTGCTGTTTTCATGCTAGAAATTCACTTTTTAGACAACAAATTTATAAAAACTGTGTCTCATTATCAAAGGACTATTAAATTAAATTTTTTTTTTAAATATTTTTTTTCTAGATATAAGAAAATATTTTAGAAAAATTATGAATAAATATGAAATTTTCGAGGCGAATTTATAAAGTTATGGGCAGGAGATAACAATTACCGCATGTTTAATTTTTGCTTTTGGGTAGCGGTTGTCAAAATCATGAAAAATAGATTGGATTTTACATGACACAAACTCTTCCTGTCTCTTTTGTCTCACAAACCACAATTACAAAATCCAAGTTCCATGGCTTCTATCATTTCTCCATGTTGTATAAAAAAATATTCAATTCCTACAATCAAACAAGGCATTTAGTTAGTTTTAGGCTGTTTCAGTTGGAACATTTGAAAATATTAATATCAAAGCAGTTATCAAAAGAAATTTCCTTTCATTTTTACACGAAAAAAATTACGGCGTTTACAGTTAATGTTAAACGTCCTTAAAAATGAAATGTACTGTTAAAACATAGTGGGCAGCCATTTTAATATTAACGTTAACGATTTCATTTCGTTTTGATAGCATAGCGCGAGAACGAAATGTTTTCATTTCGTTACGTTAATTTTTGTTTTGTTAACGAAACAAAATGATATCCTTGTTTTTGTAGAGCATATCTGAAACAAATTCAAGCAAATAAAACATAAATAATTTTAACAATAAACATGAAAAAATTTGTATTGGCCTCGTAGTAACTTCCACGTGTAAAATTTATTTACATTTTTTGTTTTTTATTTTATCCATAAACAATTTTTTAAAAAATGTGATTTCTCTAACTCTAAATATGCGAATCTCCTATTGGATATGTCCATAAAATAAAAAGCTTAGCTTCCTTTTCCCGAAAAATAAAATAATATACAAGATAAAAAGCACAATATCGATTATGAGTTCAAAATTTGGTTCGCATCCAAATACATACAGATACTTCATGAACACGTGAATAAAACCCTCATTATTTGTACATATATTGTATATATTCTTATAAGTGACTCTTTGAATATAATTTATAACACTTGGCAACAGAAAATCATGATTTGGCGTGGGCAATTAACATTTGCTGTTCAACGTATGTATGTCGCCACAAATAGGCTAGTGAATATGCAATTATGTAAATTTTGTATGGGAAAAATGAGCAAGCGTTAAAGAAAATAAGAAAAAAGTATATACATACATATGTATGAAAAACCGAATAATATTAGTATCTTATTTATTTTGTTATTTTCATTTACAAATTTTGATCAGCTGAACGATTCAACGAGCATTTTTTTTTTTAATTTTCATTAAAACAATTGAGATAATGTTTCGTAAATATATCCGGTCTCAGCGACAAATTCTTGCAACTAATATTATACCTGCAATGATATACATACAAGCTCACAGCTCGTTAAGATGTTTTAATGCATTACCACTGTGTACAGCATAAACTCAAGTGGCTCGAGAGGATGTACATAGTTATTGTTGTTTATTTGTATTTAGATTTGCAAATTTGCTTTCATAAAATTTATTTGCATTTCTTTTCTTCTTTTACTGCATATTCACTCATACGAAAGTGTAATATTTGCATGATATAATGTTGGCGAATGCCAATGATAATAAATAAATATATGCACATCTATTTACAAACTTGTATTTGTGCATGCTTCTGAATAATGAATTTATATTTATATTTTCAATAAAAATGATTTAAAAATACATTTTGCTTTTAAACTATCGAAGAGGATGTTAATTAACTGTTATTTTATTTATTATAAAACTGTCACTTTCCGAAATGAAAATAAATAAAAGGAATATTTACGCAATTATTAAATGATATTTATGTACTTGTGTAATGACGAAAAAAGTAATTAAGAATGCAATAAAACGCTCACTCATTCGGTCGTAAACAGACACAATCCCTTTCACAGTAACATATCTTAAAGAAAAATACAAAAAAATGTTCTATTTGCAAATCCGATGACTGACAGGTAAATATTTATATATTGCTAGAGTGTTATTTAAAAATTAGACTGTTTTGTTCGACTTAAAAATACGGAAAAATACTGATATAAAGTCTATACCCAATTTCTTAGAGGCAGAAAAATATATGTAAAATTTTTCTCAAGCGTAAAAACAAGAAAGCAACACGGCAAAATAATAGAAAACTGGGCACCAAAAACAAAAAAAAAAATTGGAACAAAACAAAAACATATTAATAAAGAGTCTCTTTAATTCAATTCATTGAAATATCCGCTCTAAAATAATACATTCGAGTGAAATCACAGCTGCAATACATTGTTAAAGAGCTTAACCGAATGAAAATGGATTAAATTATGGCCCGCAAGCTATTGACAATCAAATTTAACATATTTTATTGGGATGAAGTTCTTAAATGGTATTACATACTACATATAATGACTACGGAGACAGAGGATGAAATAGTTAATATCGGTTTAGTTACTGACAACTAAAAAAGTTTATTTCTTAGCGTCAGTACCCCTTATTGTTCTCCTATTTTTAAGTAGACACTATCCAAGTCCGCTCCGCATCACCATTCGATAAGGAAATTAAAACATTTGAATGCTTGAAAGGGTTAACATCATTAGTCAACTCCTTGACAAAATGTCTGTAGATTAACTGCTATATCTAAATTAGAGCTTTGAGCGCTAAACAACTGTCAAAAATCCTCATGGCCATACAATTTGTGTGGGACAACCCACAATAACGCGGAGTCAACGTTGAGTAAATGGATTTTTCAATTTTGACAGCACGTTATATGACGAAGTTAGATATGGAGGATACAAGTTTGATAGGAGGGAGGATAAACTGACGAATAGAAATAAGCAAATTTAAGAAAAATTTGACGCATAAATTGTATTCTGAAAATAAAATGAAAATATTCACCGAAGAGTTTATTCAACTACTGAGTGGAGGCACACGTTTGCTGACCGATTAAGTTCGTATTATCTTGTTTGAAATAAATACAATTAATTTATTAAATGTTATTAAAGTAATACGAACTTGAAGAGGAAGAGAAAGCGCTCTTATTTTGGGATAGCGCGCTTTGCAATTCATTGGCGTTAGAAAACACTACGCCGAACACTCAAATTTAGGTATGCCCCTTAAGGCCAGGTCCTTTTTTTAAAAACGTTTTTTTTTAACAAATTTTAATTATTTAAAAAAATATATTTGTTAATCAAAGTTTTTGTGGATAAGTAGACGTATAAAGATATTAATTGAAAAAAAAATGATTTCTATTTTTTTAAATGGCGGCTCCTAAAATGCTGTTGAAAACCGTCTTTTGTTGTTGGCGATTGACATGATAACTGCAAAACGAATCATCTGAAAGCAAAATTCAAAACGATATCTTATTCTGTATCACATTGGCTATGGCTGGAACTACAAATAAAACATTTTCACCAAAGAAAAAAAACCATAAAGAGATAAACTTTCTATATTTTTCATCCTTTTTTCAATTTTGATTGTTTATAACTTTTTTGAATGATCATTAATATTTTTGGGTGTAGCACCAACCATAGAGAGACATTTTAGGAGTGAATTGTCGCTAGTTCATGTTGATAAGCTAAATTTCGAGAAAAAGACGATTAAAGTACTCTAGTGGCCGGATTTATCGCTTGGTTCACTCCGCTTTCTCCGCTTCTATACTTACTTCTTGGTCTTCTTCTTCTAATTTAATATTATTTCTAAGAGTATTTTCTGGCAATTTATAGGAAAATAATTCGATTTTTTTAACCCCAAAAGAGAGTGGTGTAACTTTTCACCACATCAAGTCTAAAGCCAAAGTTTAATTGACCTCATAACGCAGTTTTAGAACTTAGACTGTAGTGGTCGCTACTTGGTGCATACTAAGTTGATACTAACACGTTAACAGATAGCAGTGTTGGAGACAGTTCCACGTAAATTTTCCGCGACTTCGTTAGCAATTAATTCTAAGAGCCATCGAATCGACATCCGCATCAGTTTCCCAAAAAAATAGTCTTTCCTTTGCCAATTTATGAAAAAAGTTATTCGTGTACCAAATTTCATATATTTTCGCTTCCCGGAAAATGCTTTCTTAACGGGTGCATACGTCGTTCGCAGTAAAATACACATCCTCCAAGTTTCAATTCTATAGGATCAGTGGTTTAGGTTATGTTATTCAGAACAAAGCCTTCTATATATGTAGATGGATAACTTGAAGCAATATTACATTTATAGGTAAATTATGATTACTATGAATTCTAAGAAAGGCGAAGCAAAGGCACTCTTGCCAACTAGTTACTCAACATGCCAAATGAACATTCACTATGCGCATAGCTGACGAGCAATGTAATGAAGAAATTATTATATTAGGAAAGTAAAACTATTGATATTTTAAATGGAAAATTAAATTTTTAAATAATACAC